GATTTTTGTTTTAGATTCACAGTCACTTTCAGTTAAAGAGTACCTGATAAATATTCCAGACTACATGCTTTGTAAGTGGGAAAACCTGCAGTGTATCAAAAACTTGTTATCCCCACTGTATGTTTACAAAAAAAAAATACATGGAGATAAACACTTGAGTCATATCAGTATCATAGAGAGAGAGAGAGAGAGAGAGAGAGAGAGAGAGAGAGAGAGAGAGAGAGAGCCATATAAGATACTTACTTTTACGTTGGATGTGATTAATCACGATTAATCGATTTGACAGCACTAGTGATTATTTAAAATTCAATATTATTTTTTTATCAATAAAAATAAAATACTAAAAACTCAATTCTATAAATGAATTTATGCATCATAGCAGTAAAATATACAGAGTGAAAAATCAATGTACCTTTTCAGATTTGCTAAAGATTATTAGTGTTTTGAAATATAAAAGTAAGTGAGTGTTGGATGATGGTAATCTAAATGTAAAAATAGGACAAAAGAGGATGCAAAAATAAACATTCATTACCAAAACATTGACCAAAACCAATAAATTACTAAAACCTAATGCTGGCCAATAAACAATATGGCACCCATAATTGCAAGAGTCGCTTTTGTGTTATGCTGCAAGGTGTCAGTATAAATCCAAGTTAATTCAACATAAACTAAACACATATTTGGTGATCATTTAAAATTAGATGTGATCTAAGACAATACAACATAAAGAATAAACTGTACTTCAACCCCTCACAGCCTCATTTTCATTTGTGCAAAATTAAATATGCCGTCTACCCTGATTAAGCTCCACAGACATTACATAACCATAAACACACTGAGCAAGACATCAGCCAGTTCGTTATTTATAAGACAGTGGGATAAATGTTTTAGTGGCACAGAAGTGATTTCTCTCTTGGTGAAGAACAGCTGCAAAGCTTCAACTGTCATTGTTTCTTTAAAACCAAGAGTCAATGCTCCCTTTTCATCGTTCAATCAAACAAATGGCTTGAGATGTTCATGAAAGTGTTTAGATAAACATCAGAATGTTCCACTCCTTTATCGCCACATTTGCCAGCAAAGCCTGGCTGCATCCTTATTCCCCTCAGCCGCATTTCGCTCAGCAGTCAGAGAGCACAGTTACGTAAGAGCTTTGGCCAGTAGTAATAATCTCTATAAACAGAAATTCCAACAGAGACTTCTGCTGGCAAGAGTATAAGGCAAGAGCTTTCCCTGTCAAAACATAATGCAGTTTATCGACCATGTACATGTATGCACTTATAAGGAATTTTGTGAGTTGTTCTCAAGGTTATGATGCAAAATAAATACAAAAGTTATAGAATATGGCAGAATAGGATGTAGAAAATGTTCTGAATCTGGTAAGCAATGTAAACAGCAAAAAGCTCCAGCAGTAGTCTATTAATTGCTTGCATACCCAATGTCCTTGAATCTGTTTTCTAAGTATTAGCATCCTGGCAGGGCTGTTTACTGGCCCAACGGCGGCACTATTTTTTTCTAGAGAGTATGTAAATGAATGTAGTATGAAGTCACTTTCACAAGCCTGCATTGGGGTATTAAATTTTCATCACTGTTGAGCTAGAAATGAGCAACTAGAGAAGAGTTTAAAGTCAACATGAAAACTTAACCCCACTTACTTTCTTAATGCACATTCCTGATCTTATTATGACTTAGTAATCAATGCACTTTATTTTTGTAATGATTTATCAAAATACTTATTTGTTGACAACACTTAAGATGTTCATTTTGGTTTAGAAAGTCAGCTTTTCACAATCCACAAAAGTCCAGCAAGTTACGCTATCTCACGACCAATTCGTGGGAATTCGACGAATGATTAAAACGTGTCTAATTCGTACGACCTCACTCGTACGAATTCGTCTAAACCCACGTGATGGGTAGGTTTAGGGGCGGGGTAAGGGGTAGGTCATTCATATGAATTCATACGAATTGGCCAATTCGTAAAATATGTACAATTTAGCAAAATCGTACTAATTCATACGAGTGAGGTCATATGAATTGTTACGAATTAGCCACTTTTTAATCATTCGTCGAATTCGTACGATTTGGTCAGGAGATCGGGTTGGCAAGTCACATGTAGTAATAGTCCTGTCCAGTGATTCAAAAGGTATTTAAGGGTTCTTGTTCTAAAGATTTTTTTTTGTTCCTTCTATAACCTGTTGACCCTCTTAAAGTGGCTGGCATTGCATCCTCAGCTGCTTGTATAAATGAGTACACAACTCTGCAAGCCACCCAGATCTCAGTCAGCCTTTGACCCTATAAAGAACAGGTTGACCGGTGTTGTCAAGTCCACAGTTTTCCTGCTGTACTGGGACAGTTTTACACTGTTGCCGTGGGTTGTTTTTGTAGACCCCCCTGAACACAGGACACCCGTACATCCTAATTTAGCTGAGTTAGACATTTTCTTGGGTCAATATTTTTTGTTGACCCTGGAACAATATTCCTCCCCGAAAATATATTCCTAACCATAAGTTATATGGTTATGGTATCCCTAAAAATTAAAAATGACAGGTGAATAACACTGATGTAGAAGAACCTAACCTTGGTTGTAAGCCTAATCTTGACATAAACTGGAATACATAAACATAAATTGGGATGCTGTTACAGAATCAACAAAGATGTTGATCAATGAACATGTAGCACTTGGTGAAATCAGGATCTGCTGTATCAGCAATTGAGCTAGTTAAGTTGCGCAGACTCTGTGATTGGTTGTCAATGTACTCGCTAAATTTACATAACATTTAAATTTATTAATTTAGCTGAAAGCGACTTTCAATTGCTATATATGTCAGAGGTCGCACGCCTCTTTAGACACATTGGTGTCTCTCATTCGAACCTGGGTCTCTCACACCGAGGGCATGTGTTTTATCCACTGCCATCACCACCCCAGTGTAATCTAAGCTGTTAAAATGAGACTCAAAATTTCCATCAGACCTAGGACTTTGACAAAATGCTGTGACAATGAAAACCGTGCGCATGAAGCATATTGTTCCTCCTGTTCAAGCATGCATGGTGAAATACAATAAAACCCGTGAAAGCATTCTGAAGAAATGGAAATTGCTAAGAATCACCAGACCTAAAAGAGTCACACTGAGAGCTGATTGGTACTTAGTTAATAAGTGATACATAAGTCATTACGTGTAAAGATGTTGTGATTTGTTAGTTATGTGATACCAGCCACTTGTTTCCGGTCTTTTAGACAAGGTGCATGAAAATATTGAGCTGTGAAAGCCCAAAGGGGCGGGGAGTTCACTACAGTTGATTTTGTCCCCTGGGAAGAGTTTTCCAGAACAGGGAGAAACTCATAACTACAAACTACTGAGCTGCAAATAAGAGCTAGGCAGGCTGGGGCTAGATGAGCAATGTGATTTTATTGTTTAAAATATGGGTCATATTTACTGCAATAATAAATTAAACATTTAAAATAAATGTACTTCAGTGGACAATCGTTCTATTTTGTATAAGTTGTCTATGTGTTGATGTAGTTATGATGCTTGGCATGCTTTTTTGTAACATTTTTGCAAGTAGTCTGGACAACATGATACATGATAAAAACGTTAAAAAGACTACAATCCAATGACTCTATTATCATATATTCACCTGAAATTGCATACTGTCCAAATTTAGTCTCCTTTGTACAATACAAGGATCATAACTTACCCATATTGTATCCATAGGGTGATTCACTGGATCCATCCTGCAGACTGGCCAGTATTTCCCCTTTCCCCACATCACTGTCTCCAACCAGCAGGAATTTCAGGAGGAAATCATAAGCTTTTGCTGGGCTGCTCCTGTGATTCATCTTCACATCAGCCCGATGACCCATTCTGATGCATCATGTAACTGTCCCTTGATGGACTTGTGTTCAATTTCTCAAGCCACCAGAACTGAACAATATTGCCGTTTTAAAAAAACAAACCTGCGTATTCTTAACTAGTCTTTTCTGTTTTTAAAATGTCACATTCAGTACATTACTTAAGCTGTCCTATTGTTCAAAGATTCGGTTGTGGATCCAATGATGCTGTTGCGTCACATTTGTAGGTAAATAAAGACCCTGATTTGTTTAGAGTATAGTAACATAAGGCAAGTGACTCTTTTTAAATTAGATGTTTATACTTGTAAAATAAATGTTAATCTTAATAAGACTCCTGATGTTTTTTTTTTTTTTTTATCTTTGTAGTTCGAGCAAACCTAGTCCATTGAGCTCTCTGGCAGGATCCATCTCTTCTATCAGCCTGCCTAAACAGAAAAATGTAAGTTCATCCTTAGATTTTCCTTGATTGGTTCCTGTGTGGAGTTGCTAGGGCAGCTCTCTTTGTTTATTGGACAGTACGCGCGTCCATTAAATCGCCTAAACGCCCATTTTGTGTCGGAGAGGGTGTGGCCAATCTGCTGTTTTGATCCTATAAACGCTGATGACAGATCAGCCCCCGTACGTTCATCCATTTAGGTTTTGTCGCGCGGACGGTGGCTCAGCTGATTCTGGGTCAGCGCTCCACCGCGCCTCAAGCGCGTGCTCGGGTTTGTTGTTTTCCGGGGCACGAAGAATTACGTAGTGCTTTAATGACGTAATATTATTGTAGTTTCCAGACAGGTTACTGTAGTTCATCTCTTCTTCTAAAACCACAATACTTTATAACTGTAAGTTTGATAATAAACGGCAATATCAAATCAATTAATGCGTGTTAGTTCTTTTGTATATTTTTACTATGATAGTGCATCAGGTTTTCAGTCTTTACAAACATTCCAGTCAAAACTATTAATTTACTTCACTATACTGTTTCTAACACTATTATAATACATCCACTATTATGACTACATGTACAGATCAATATTTAGAAAAATAGAAATTAAAATGTCTTATGGACCCCCTGCATCAACCATGATCTCATTTTGTGACTTGTATCTGCATATGTAAAACATGTTTCAGCATACTGTAGTGTTCTTGCTCAATATTGTCCACAATGTATACATTATAACATGTATCTGTTACAGCTGTATGATATCCAAAAATCTAGCACAGACTAATTTTCTTAAGTTGCCACAATACAATACCCTGTAATATTAATTATTCCAACATGCCCCCAAAAAGCGGCACAAGTCATTGTTTTCACTCCAATGCAAATTTTTTTAATCATGTGCACAAAATAAAATAAACGTGCACAAATGCTGCCCTCTAGCGTCCTAAAGACTATAATGACACGCATGCACAAATGTTGCATAACAAGTTCAGTGATTTGATATCAACAGGTTATAGCTTGTGCAAAAATAAGAGCTAAAATTTTATTGTCTTAACCATAAACATTCACAGACAAATGATCAGCTTTGATGACTCTTAAAATTTGTATGTAACCATTTGATTCAGACATCAGACATTATCCCATGTAGTAATCATTCTCAAAATAATTACAGAAAGCAATCTCCAGAAGATAATTCTGATTTTAAAGTCTCTGAATAATGCATAATTAGCTATAACCAGGGATCGGTATCCGCTGTCCTTCCTTGGCTTCAAAAAAGGTGTATGAGAGTATAATATTGTCTACTCGTGCCATCCTGGGGTCTTCATCAAACTCTGGATCAATGTAGAAGAATACAGGCATGTCTACCTCCTCATGTGGGTTTAACCTCTGTTCCTCGAAACAGAAACACTGATGGAAAAACAAAGCAGTATATTAGAATTTAGCACACTATTCAGTGACCTAAGAAGGTAATACAAGGATAGCCAAACATTTCTGCATACAGATGTCAAATTTAACAAATAAATTGAAACAAATGTACAGATTATAATAGTAATGTTTGTATGGATTCATTTAAAAGCATCACATATTTACCTGTATCTTATTAAAATATTGTCCAGCATCAAAAGGTACAACATTGTAGGTTGAAATGCCGATCACCGGTTTGCTTGTGGGATTCTTAGCCCTATAAAAAGCCAGCGCAGTTTCCCCTGGTACAACCTGGAAAAAGTTCAAACATAAAATAATCAACTTGGATAGTTTCATAGTCATTACATGAAAAAACATGTTGTTTATGGAATTCCCACATTAAAAGGGCATTCCTGAATATTCCTTTATTTCCAAATTTATATCATTCCTATATTTCCAGATATTTAGTATGGGCAGGAAGTGTTTAAACATTTTTTTATTTCACATTGTTTTATGTGGCTGCGTTAAACTACTTCAAATGACTTTTTATCACATCAATCCACACTTCATACAAGATAAGTAGAAAGTATTCAAATCCCTAGTTAAAGCACCTTTACAGCCACAAGTCTTTTCAGGTATGATGTGACAAGCTTTACACATCTGCATTTGTCGATTTTCAGTCTTTCTTCTCCTCAGATCCCCTCAAGGGGGAATGGGGACTGTCAGTGGACAGGCATGTTGAGGTTTCTCCAGAGATGTTCGATTGGGTTCAAGCCCAGGCTCTGTCTGTGCCTCTAAAGGACATTCACAGAGTTGTCACTCTTGTATTGTCTTAGCTCTGTGCTTAGGGTCATTGTAATGTTGGAAGGTGGGATCCTCTGCCCAGTGCAAGGTTCTTGACTATATTTTGCTGCGTTGAGCTTTACTTCTACCCTGAAGAGTCCCTCAGTCCCTGCTGGTGAAAACACCCCTACAGCATGATGCTGCTACCACAACTCTTTACAGTTAGGATGGTATTGTGCAGGTTTCCTCCATTGTTTTTCACAGTCTGAGAGAGTCATTTAGGTAGCCTGGCTGCGCCCGCCTACGCACTTCCGCTCAATTTCATTTTCCTTCAGTACTGCGTCTGGGACCGCTCCATATCCTTAGGTTTCCAGAAATCAATTTTTTGTAGGACCAATCAGCGAATAGAGGGAGTGGCTGAGAACGATGACGTTGATGTAGTGCGTCAGTTTGAGTGCAGTAATGGCAGCGGAGAAAGACGTGAGAAAAGCTATTCGGTCCGTTGTTGGAAAAGAAACTGCCGAATATACAGAATTTAAAGCCGGATTGTTGTCGTCTCACCTCTTGTTGCACAACGGAGGACCAAGTGAAAGAGGCAGAAAGGTTGGAAGTTTGTGCTGGGCAGCTCGTGCACGATGACCGTGACATTTTGGACTTTAGCCTGGTGTTCGCGGTGTTCGGAAGCCCCGAGTCCTGGCTGCTAAACTATTGTCGAAGATCCGCTCAGGAGTCATGTCTGTCGCTCATATTCCCAACAGTAAATTTACTGATTCTTGTGATGAATAGAACATTTTGAGCCCCTTTGTGCACTCGTACAGGAGGTTGGTGTGTCAGTTTTACATGTTGTAAATCATACAAATTGGTTGTGATTAAAAAAAAAATTTATAAATAAAAATTTGAAAACCCATACTTTGGAGACTATATTTGATTTTCAGTTTTAGATGTCAATGGTTAATTTGTTTTAATAAAAAAAAAACAACTAAATGCCATATAAAAATGTACAAACACATACTTTGAAGACCATAATTAAGGTAATTAAGAAACAAAAATACGTAATATGAAAAATTGTTGTTTATTACACATCTGCAGACAGACTGATCATTCACTGTAACTTACAGCATTGACTGAATAATCACTGTCCTTCATGTCAAATATACATTTCGAATTAATAATTGTTCCTAGATTAACAAAACCTGCAGCTCTCGTTGACTGAAATCCTATTGTAAATTTAATCCTCTGATCATTCGGAGTTCGGACTTGTTGTTTCTTTTACTGTCTATGGTTGTTTCCAGCCGTTTCGGCGCATGACATACGTCACTCACGACCACACATTAGCGATTGGCTATGGCAGATCGTGAGTGACTCTGGGCAGATCCAATAGATTTGAACTTTAATAGTGAACCCGCCTACAAGGAAGGAAACGTTTCTCAATTGAGGGAGGCCAGACTCTCTGTACAAATGAAATGTATGTACGAGAGTCTGGTAGAACCAGGCTATCATTTAGGTGCTTTTTTGCAAATTCCAAGTGGGTTGTCTAGTCTCTTCAGTGAGGAGAAGCTTGAGTCTGGCCACTCTGTCATAAAGCCCAGATAGGTGGAGTGTTGCAATGATGTTTGCACCCTTCGTTAAATTTCTCCCATCTCCATATATGATCATGGAGCCCATCCAGAGTGACCATTAGCTTCTTTGGTCATGACTCTAATCAAGGCCCTTCTCTATCGATTGCTCTGTTTGGCCAGGAGGCCAGCTCTAGGCCTCCAGCTCTAGGTTTCACCCTGGTTGTTGCAAACTTCTTCCATAAAGGATTATTATGGCGGCTACATGCTTCTGTGAACTTTAAAAACAGCAATTTTTTTCAGTCTTCAACAGATGTCTTGATTCAATCCTGTCTCAGATGTCTTGATTCAATCCTGACATCATGGCTTGGTTTTTGCTCTAAGTTAGTCTGTTTATTGAGAGGGGTGTGCCTTTCCAAATCATACACATTCAATTGAATTGACTACAGGTAAACTCCACTAAAAGTGTAGTAATATTTACAAGCATCCCAGAGAAGGGTAAGTTATGCAATTATTTAAGTCAGTTTTTATCTTTAAACATTTATCTATCTATCTATCTATCTATCTATCTATCTATCTATCTATCTATCTATCTATCTATCTATCTATCTATCTATCTATATCATTTTGTATTGTACACAAATGTTTGTTGCATATAACTGAATAAAAAAGATTGTAATAAAAAAAAATTATAATCTTACGTAAATCTCTGATTGCTGTGGACGGAAGTTCCATTGCATGCTGGCATGTGTGTCTGCATTAAAGGTCACTTTAATAACACGCTCCCTAATTGGCTTCATAGTCTCCACTTGGTCTGTGTCATGTCCAGCTACTGCTGTGCCTCCCAGTCCTGTTGCCTGAAGTAAGAGAAACATATTATTGTAAAATAATAAATACACCAAAAATGGCTTTGAGACTATCAATCTAATACTGACCTGACAGTATAGCCTGTAGAGAGGAACAGAAGCATATGACATGCCAATCATTCCCACTCCGGCGGCCGCAATGTATGTCAGGATGGTCTTGTTCCTTTCTTTCCAGGTATCTTCCTGGCTCTGACGTTTCCTCTTGTTTGTTTTAGCTCCTCGTGACTGGTTGAGGAATCGTGGTGGGGTTCTCCTGAGGAAGAGCTGGACTCTGGATGTGGCTAGTCCTCTGATGTTGCAGAAATTAACATATAACCGAGTGCTAGAATGTGCTTGCTGTACATAGTGCTTTGCAGTGCACCCACGAAGAAGTAACGGTAATAGCATAATCCTAGAATTATGAGTAGAATCCCCTCAAGACAGGTTTGTTTCACCTAAAACATAAGACAAGGACAGATATGATTACTAAATGATGGATTACATCACAGAAACTGTGTCAGTCCATAACTCAAATAAAGGTGGCCTTGCACCTACATGTGAATAAATGTTTTATTAAAGAAAATGACACACTAAAAATTTAACAGATATATTATTACAAGTACGTAAGTCCATCTACCGTTCAAAGTTTGGAATCATTAAGAAAATATCTCTTTAATTCAGCAAGAAGCAAGCATTTATTTAATTTAACAAAAGTGATTATGAAACAATTCACAGTATAACTTAAGCCTTTTATATGCTACTACGTTATTTACCATCATTGAGCTGTAAAGTCAATCTAAACAACAACAATTAAGAATTTCTCATAAATTATAAGACACTTTAAAGCGATAACCAAACAATACAAAATAATAAAAAGTGCTGTTACAGTAACGTTACAATTTTAAATAGCATGCTAACATCCATTCTGCTAAACCGGTTATCAATCCTTTCCCATTCCTGTGTAAACTTATATAATGACCGCGTGACTAAATATGTATTTAAAAGGGCTTTTAACACGTATTTTAACCAGAAGATGCGGAAACATACCTGGTTTAAATGATGATGTTTTGCGCATATTACTACTCACCCTTCAAAAACATGTTACAAAACACTAACCTATTGGTGCAACCGATTAAATTTCCCCGGGTACAGGTCGCTACTGCTAAAGTTCCGGTGGGTTGTAGATTGCAATAGCGTCTGGCTGCAGACAAGTGACGTCACTTGCACTCTCGGACTTGCACGCTCAGACACGAGCGCTTCCTCTGCAAGTGACGTCAGACACGAGCGCTTCCTCTGCAAGTGACGTCACTTGCAAGCGACGTCTGCTCTACGGAACGCGATCGGGGCCAATAGTCTTTAAACGAAACGCGTGAATTGTGACCGCGGCGATTTTTTTTTTTACGTGTTTCTTTTGAACGCGTAGACACGCTCATTTTGGTCGTGTTAAGCCGTCATTTGTCATTTTGTTGGCAGTTTTTTTTTTTTTCAAATTGCTACACAAATTGCCACACTACAAGTGGAATTTGAGGCTCAATCAGTGAAACTATTCATGTACCCAATCTTTAGTCCATGTCTGCAAAAATACAAGGGCATTATATGCTTTGCTCTGTTTGTATTTGAAAATCAAACTTTTTGCAAAACTCTAAACACATTTCTCTACATTACACACATCATTCAAAGAGCTCTTGTTTCATTTGGGAAACACTGGCATTTAAATGCCACATTAATTTACGGATAACCTACAACCAAAAATCATGTGGGAAAAGACATGTACATAAATTGATCACTTAATCAAAACTCAGCTTTGAGAAAGAAATTATTTTTTTTACTATTTTTATTTATTTATTTTTAATTATTTTCAAGACATTTTGGACAATTTCATGCTCCCAACTTTGTGGGACCAGTTTGTAAATGAAAAACATCAAGTTGATGTATTGTTTTTTCTTTTTATTGTAAATGTCAATTTACAGTATACATACTGTGCAAAACAGACAAATACAAGGTACAAATAGACAATATATAAAAACACATTGGCACATTATTCACTTTGCTCTATAGTTTGACAGTTTACCTTTAATTTCATGACATCAACTACATGTTCAAGAAACATTTGCATGTCATTCATTACAGTAAAGATGAAGCAAAAGGGTTCCAGAGCATCGATTCTGTCCTGCGGAAACTCAGCCTTCTCCAATCTCTCAACGGCGTCTGCAACGTCTTGTTCCTATATAAAAACCATACAATTACAGCAGTAAACATTTGAAGTAGATCAAAACCTTTCATTAAAGATGTCCTAAAACCACAACAATACCCATTCTTTTTTTTTTTTTGACAATTTCAATTAACTTTTTGCATCCACTTTAAATGTTGACTACTACTTATAAAACCCATCAATATATAACCCAAAAAGATTTGCATATGTAAGGGAAAATCTGTGGAAGTGTAGGCTACATAAGATTGTAAGCATAAATTAAATTTGCATGTGCAAGAAAAGCTTTGTTAAAGGGATACTTCACCCAAAAATTAAAGTTTTATCGTCGTTTACTCACCATCAAGTTGTTCCAAACCTCTATTTGTTTATTTGTTCTGCTGAACACAAAGAAAGATATTTGAAAGAATGTTTTAATCAAACAGATCTTGATCCCCATTGACTTTCATAGTAGGATGGTAGTCAATGGGGATCAAGATCTGTTTAATTAAAACATTCTTCCAAATATCTTTCTTTGTGTTCAGCAGAACAAATAAACAAATAGAGGGTTGGAACAACGTGAGGGTGAGTAAACCACGATAGAACTTTAAATTTTGGGTGAACTATCCCTTTAAGGTGTAAATTGCATTTCAAGCTTAAGAAAAATAAGTTTAAAACAATTACTGTTTACACCTTTGCCATTTTTTGTGGCCCAAATATGGACAAAAGCATTGCACGTCTGTGAACACCCATTTGCAAGTGAAAACAACGGTTTAGAGAACTGTTTCAGAGCAGTACCCTCTTATGTTTATTTGAAGGAAAAATATGTATAAATGTGCTTGTGCACCAATTACAGTCCAATGGTTTAATGCATCTACCTTGGAAAACAACTGCTTTTTTTAAATGGCCTTCCCAGTGTAGCTTTATTTTTTTCAGGGTGGTTGGCTTCAGAGAAGGGCATAAACTGCAGTGATACAAAGCGCAACATGATGTGCACTGTGGTACCAGGGGGCTTTCAGAAACTAAAATGACTGAATGGTGCATGATGCATCTGTAATGAAACCATTGATAATATTGATATTAGACTGTTGTACAGACGTGACGTCGAAACATGATCGAATATTGCATGTATTTTACACAACGTATTTTACTAAAAATGTTTTCACCGTAAAACAGGACGGGACGGCAAACTACAGTGGTTTCAACGTGTAAATCATGTAAAGCCAGTTTATATACAACTCTATTAATAAGTTTTCTTCATGTATTTAAGACCGTGAGTGGTTGGCTTGTTAGGCCTAACGTTATATTTGTGTAACAGAGATTAAAAATCGTGTAAAAGGTAAAATGTATTATTTATCACAGGCCTATAAAGCAAAGGCATATATTTAGGCCTATTGCGTTTATATTTAGGTATATGTGTGTGAAAATATACACATGAAGAGTTCAGATGCAAAAGCCTCTAAATGCCATTTGAAATTTTCTTCTTTAATGATGATTTTTATCAAACTTGTATATTTAAGTTCAGTAATTTCTCTTAAATGGCAATGATAATTGCCTATTAATTGTTATTTAAGTGAAATTACTAAACTTAAATATACAAGTTTGATAAAAATCATCATTAAAGGAGAAAATTTCAAATGTCATTTAGAGGCTTTTGCATCTGAACTTTTCATATATACTTATTACTTACAGAAACGATTTTTAACGACATTGGAATTGTTCCCAATCCGCCACGAGACACACTATGCGCCGTCGATTGCACGTGAGTTCACAGGTAGCGGAGAGCAGGTGTCGATTGCAAATGACGTCACTTGCAGCGGAAGCGCTCGTGTCTGAGCGTGCAAGTCTGACGTCACTTGCAGCGGAAGCGCTCGTGTCTGAGCGTGCAAGTCTGAGAGTGCAAGTCTGCAGCCAGACCCTTCTCGTAGATTGAGTTGGTTAGCGAAAATGTGATTATCACAGTAAACATGTTGCATATTAATAATGTAATAATAATAAATATAATATTGATTTAAGTATCCAGGGTAATTGTGGTAAAAGTTCAAATATCGTCGTAATCTCTTATTAAAAAGTGTATTGTTTGCCGTCTGAATAGGTGGAATCATATCATCACAATGGACAGCCTAAGAGTTAAGTAAAACACGTATCTCTTAATTTTTTAATGAGCACAAACGATAGAGAAATTATGTTTCTAAAATTATGTACTTCTCTAGTTAGTTCCTTCAGGCAATAATAACAAACAGAATAGCAGTAGGCCTACATTTAAAAGGCATGCATAATTTTAAATAATTATCCTATTTGCAAAAGTTACATTATTCCTGTTTATGTTTGTTTGTTTGGGGTGGGGTTAGGTTGTTCTTGCTTAAATATTACACAAAATCCCTGAATGTGTATTGAAAACTATACTGTTTATCGTTATGCAATAAAAAATTGAGATGAAGGTACAGACGATCTTACAGATTATTTATGAAAATAGCTTGGCAAGCTAGCTAGGCTAACGTTGGCTAACGAGGAATTTAATGATAACAAGAAAAGGTTTAATAGGTAAAATAAGTGTTTTCTTATAATACTAATGAGAATTTTTAATTAAAGTATATTACAAACTTTTAATTTAGACCCTAAATATTAGCGTGTACAAAAATGCCATTATGACCCCTTTAAAAAGGGTCCATACACCCAGGGGCGCCGCTAGGTCCTTTTATGTATGGGGGCTTTAGCTCCCCTAAAAATATGAGTCGGTCTGAAAATGTGTTTCGAGAACGCCCAAAATGTCCGGGATTCGGCTTTTGGGTTCTACAGCCATTCATTATTATACTGTGGCGAGCAGGACGAGGTTAGGGCCGCGGGAGAACGGCACGAGGCCGGTGGCGTGATTACTGATGAGCGACACTGTGAGGCGCACCAGTCTAATATCGCCAACGGAGGAGCGGGGATTTTCTTAACAATGTTTGAACACACATCGACCGATCACTTGTTTAGCATTTATGTAAACACTACATTCAAATTCACCAATTGGAATGAATTCAATTAGATTGGAACAAAAGGTGTGCATGTAAACCGACTGCAAAAAGCAAAAACTGAATCCTGGACATCGATGGCCGGACATGTCCGGGAAAAAAGAGGATGGTAACCCCAATTACTCAGCTTTCTAAACAGAACAAGAGCCTGCTAGCTTCCAAAAAAAGATAGTTAACATGTGTACATTCTGTGAGTGAGATCCCACCCTCTATGGGCGGGTTGAAAACATGTAGAAGTGGAACAACCCCTACTACTGACTGTAGTCAGTCAAAGGCCAAAACATCCTCCGATAATGCAAAATGACAATTTTTCTGCATCTGAGGATTTTTTCCAGACAAGAAAATACATAAATCTCTCGTCTCAGGGGGATATGAGGGTGGAAAGCACGGTAATTTGAAAATACTACAGGTTTTCTAAAAATACAAAGCTTTATGCTTAATCCTGAAAATCCCTTTAAAATTATGAATGTTTTTTTTTTGTTTTTTTTACAATATCATGCCGTGTTCCAGTGGGCGTAGTTCTCAGAGTAGTTCGAGAGCTTGTTGTGGTCTCAATTGATCCACTTTTATGTACTGTCGACCCTCAACCGTTTTTGGGGGTCAACAGCTTATAAAAAAATATTTCTGGGTTATTTAGCTTGTTTGCTGTACACTCTGTCTCATAGCAGTTTTTTTCCCCCCCATTTTTCTTTTCAGTTTTACATAGACTCCCATAGACTACTTGTCATTCACTGTCCCCGCGTCAGAAATCAAGCAGTCAGACTCACGTCCCCTCATTCAACATCACAGCCTCGGGAGAGACAGAAATCATCATCCGCTGTGACAGGCAGCGCAGAGAGAGGTGAGGCAAACCATGTGACTGTGGAGTATCAGGACAGATTAGTGGGTAGGTAGCAGTTTGTCTGTTACTGTCTGGGTAGATTGCTGTCTCTCGGTCATCGAGATTGACCTGATTTGAACCACCGTTCTCCCCAACCCGGTGATATCGAAGATTTTTACAACACATCATTGCTTGTGGACCTGTAATGGCACTGCTTCCTGTGGAGGCAGAACACTTTGACGGGCTATCACTCCTCTACTGGTAAGAAATGCCATTATCTGGTTGTTATTTTGCTGAGTGATTTAGATTAAGCAAATACTAATGCTTTTAAAGCTTGTTTGTTTTCTGTTGTATCCTCATTTGATGTGCTTAGTTACCCTCATGTTTCTGCTTGTTTCGTCTGTTTAAAACATTGGCATGGATATTACATTTGTGTTGGAACATTTCAGCATCCTAATATTCTGTTTACTAATTTGTGCTGCTCTAATAATGCATATAAAATGGCTCATTAAAGAGCTCATTAAAAGCTGACAGCAATTACTGTACAGTAGGAACATTTAAAGTTCATCATCATGGTGATGAACCAGCAGGAAGTGGAAAGTTAGAGCAAGACTGATGGGATGGACCCTGTAGTCTGTAGTCACTTCCTTGCGTGGTTTGAGCAGGGTAAGACAGATTAGGTAGAATTAAGTGATCAGTTTAATGCTGGATCTTTTGTAACACAGTCGCACGCACTACATCTGAGCTCTGTTTGTTCAGGGTGACTCGTTAAAGACAAATCCTTTTATTCCCCATTATACTTTAAAATTGTTTATTTGTGTAGGTTGTGTACAAAAGCATGCACAGCCATTTTGATACAGATTTGATGGATGTAAACACGCCGTATCCATGACCTGCATGTTGGGGACTGACCATCATTACGCTGAACTTAATTCTAATTCTCTTTGTTGCTCTCAATTTGATAGAGATTAAAGTGAACCGTTTACAGTGCAGCAAAGGAGATAACAAAGAAAACTAATTGCGGGGATAGCAATCAGGTTAAATACATCACTAGTAAGAGGCACATGAGTTCGTCCTTGTCATCCTGCTGGCTGACCGGCACATGAACTCAGCAAAACAAAAACAGCACTTAGGTCTGAGATTACAAATCGTATTCTTTAGCTAATTCATATGTTTGTTGCCATTTAGTACTGTATAAATATGATTTTTTTTTTCTTCACCAATACAGAATAACACTCTAAAAAATGCTGGGTTGTTTTAACCCAATTTTGGGTAAAATATGGACAAACCCAGCCATTGGGTTAAAAATGTAATTTAAAAATGTAACCCAATGGCTGGGTTTGTCCATATTTTACCCAAAATTGGGTTAAAACAACCCAGCATTTTTTAGAGTGTATATTTATCTTAAAATCATAACTTGCTATATCTAATGCAAAACTTAAATTAAGTTAACCTACCTTTTAAATCTCAAAAATGTACTTTTCCTGATCTGATTGATTGTACTTGTCAACTCGATAATTCGCCTCTTCTTCACATCACATTACATTTGGGGTCTCAGTGACCCCAGGTATTAATAAACGCAATGCATTTTCAGATTGTACACAATGTACAGGCACACTCCTTCCACATGTTTCCTTTGGTTTGTGTGTTTTTGCAGGGGTTTTATTGACCTTAAACAAACCCAACATTAATACTGAACACCAATCGCCTTTTCAAAAGAGTGCATGCCTACTTCTTAGTCAAACAGAATGATAAAGCTTTAGCAATATCTGCTTGCCGGGTTTTGTTGATGTCAGATTCACATAACAATTCTGAAGTGCAAATTATTGGTCAGTTTTGAAAGTGCTATTAATAAATTTTACACATGCAGCATTGCAGAGTATGTACGTAAAATAGATATTTAAAGACATTTTAACAACACGAGGGTTAAAAATAAAATATGTGATGATATTTGTTTTATAAAAAGAAACACATTGTTCAGAGCTTTATTAAAATCTCACTCAATGTCCTAGTTAAAGTCAAAATATTTTATTCCGTTGCTTTGTCTGTTATGGGGATTAAATGCAATAGAGATCAGGCTGCAGTTTAACAGATTGGATATATACCCTCTTTCTATAAGAATTTATAATATGGCGCTTTTATTGTTTACTTACATGCTTTAGTGATTTTAATATAAGCCCAAGCACAATAACCTACTTCCTGTATAAGCCTTTATTTTTTTTATCTCTGATTTTTTTTTGATGATACTTCAATTTTCAATTTACTGCAATCAAAAATATTGTTATATACATTATAGATTCTTAAAATCTGTTATATGATTCTATATATCAGATATATGAACCCTATAGGCTTTTGACTTAATTTATGCCAAAAAGGTACTATGTAAGGAGAAATGTCTTGACTGAATAATACGTTCATGTTTAAAGGGTTATTTAATTGATTCTCTAGTGAGTAAGTATGTTTACAAGATTTTAGATTCCTAAAATTTGACCATTGACCAAGTGAATTAAAACAAAACTAATATTTCTATATTTTGAGTGATTTAACCCTCTAAAGCATGTGTCCATTGCAGGACATATGTTTAAAAATCAATTTGAACCATTGTTACATCCACATTGGTACTTTCTTGATTCCTTTTTATGAATGTCCCTTTTTCTGGAATATTTACCATGATCTTCTGCTGTAATGGACAGATTTGTAACTCTCTAAATATGCAGCGTTTTGTGGGGAAAGGATTGGGAATGATTATATTCTTTTCTTTTGGGATTTAATAATTCATGCATCAGAGGGTCAACCACATTATAACCATGCATTCGATAATCTGTATTTTTTATTTTTTTATTTTTGCTTTTTTACTTTTTTTAGGACAATAATGGGGCCCCAAGGCATCAACCGTGCTGTGGAGAGACTAGACTTCACAGACTGTAAGAAAGGACTTGGTGAGAACCACAACACAATTACGCTGCTTCATTTTTCAAGGCATTTGATGATGCACAATTTAATTTCACCCCTGTATAAAGAATTAATCCAAAAAATCTTGTTCTCAATTTAATAGGCGTGAAGATTATTGGGGGCTACAGGGAACAGAGTGGTGAAGAGTTTGGTATTTTCATTAAACGGGTTTTGCCAGGTGGCGTGGCGGCACTGGACGGTATGTTCTTTCTCCCAAAATCTCCAATGAATGTATTTACTTTGATTCTGTGAATGATGGATGATGTTCCTTTCTGTCTTTCAGGCCGTCTTAGAGCAGGGGATCTCATTTTAGATGTTAACAACATGAATTTAGGAGGTGTTACAAATGAAAAGTAATGTATTTTCTATTGGTTATTGATCTGCAGTAAATTATAGGATGACTTAAGTATAGTAAAAGGACTAAACTGAGAAATATGTGTGATGTTTTATTAGGGCAGTGGAGGTTCTTCGCATGGCATCATCTACAAATCACATGTCTTTACTTATAGTACGTGATGAGCATTCCAGGTAAGATGACTTTTAAAGTGGTTATGAATGCATTTTTGCATTGTTCATTATGTTCTCTGAGGTCCACTTATGTTATCAATATTTTGCATAAAAAAACACTCATTTAGGAGTTATGTAATTTAGGTGTAAAAAGTTAGTTTCTATCCTGTTTTTGACCCTCTTTCGAACACTTTATTTTTGATAGTCGTCCTGTATTCAAGACTTGGAAGTAAATGCTCACTGCTATGATTGGATAACAGTTTTGCATATTAAAGTCATTTTTCAACGTCCCCACCATTACACGTGTGGAATTGTTTTGAAAACTTTTGATTCAGAAAAATATCTTGTTACATAGTTTGCCAACAATGTGTTATGCATATTACATAAACCTTATTGACCACAATTAAAACTTTAAGTACATTGAATGCATAATTGAGATAACTCAAAGTAGGCTACTTTGAGTTTGAGTTATCACAGTTATAATTTACCAAGTATGACTTGCTGTGTTTGGTGTAAACAAAATTATTTGTTTGTTACACTGACCTTCTTATAGGCTATTCACCAGTCAAACTTTTCGATAAAGTGAAAAACATATACATTGTCATTTGCAGTGTTGTAATGTCTTACTGATGACAAAACAGAAGATGTTGTACACTGGAGCTTTTATTCATGATCACAGTGAATGCCTTAGATCAAAACAAAAACTAAAGCAACGTTCTCTACGTGCTTTTGTTCTATATCTGATAATTTAATGCATTAACCCCATAAATGCTGAAGCAAAGTAAAGAACAGCAAATTACAACTGTTCATAGTATAACTGCAGCGCTACAGTATAAATACATATGACATATCAAACGATTTGTAACAAAGCAATAGTGACAGATGATAAAAACATTATTTCTCACACTTGATTGTTGCGACTTTACTGTCAGATCCAATATCCTACTGTTTCCGGGGGGCTACTGTAAAAAATAAAGTGGGTGCAACTTCCGGTCAGGTGGCGGAAGTAGTATACCAGTGGTATTTTGTGTAATTTTGCGAAGAGACTTGCTGTTTTTCGGATAATGTTTTACTATATAAACTAAGTTGCAAACCTTTATGAGAGATGTTTTTACGGAGGTTAGGGACAACGTGTGCTGTTCGCGGTTGTGCATAGGCCTATAACCGGACCAAACTAATTCAGTGGCAAATTTTATTAACCAACAGTCTTGGACTAAAGATTTTAAGTGAAGGCTACTGTGAAGCAAAATATCCAGAACATGAATGACATACAGAAAACATTTCATAGTATATCTAATATAATATATATATTTCTCAGGTCTGTGAGGCATGTAGACTATGCTGAGTTTCGGTTCATTTATGAGACGAGCTGGAGTTCTGGCGCCGGCACCTCTTATCTGCTATATTTACTTATTATTTATTAAATCCAGGTAATTTGTTGGTGAAACATTGATTAAAATTAAGATACAATTAATACAAAATAAAATTAACTTTAAATAAAGGCTTAGTGCTTTCTGTTTGAGGTCTCTGTGAAAGTTTTAAAGCAGTATTTTTGTGCCACTTTCAGGGAACTGTCACGTCCGCAACATAGTTTTTTCCTCATAAATGCGAACATGAAACATAAAATAAAAATAAATATTTTATGTTCTGTGGAGAGCCAACCCTTCTTCATCCGGTGGGTAGTATTAATTTAGATTAATTTAGATAGCGCAGTGTAAGTTCACAGAATTTCTAAAAAAATATTTTGCCACCTAAAAGTTAAAGATTTTTTTGTGTCACGTCCCGCAGGTTTATTTCCCTCATATTAAATACAAAAATGCATGTTTTATATTTTTTGCTATATTATGTCTGGACTACTTTATTAATGGAGTATAATATTTAAACAGAAGTTTCAATAGCCTATATTAAATACATTTTCTGAGAATTTATATTTCAGATTTTGACTGCAAATGTCACACTGGAATTTCCCAATTTTAAATAATTTATCTTCATCTAGTTTTGTTGTGTAGGTCTATATGTATTTTATAATGTTAACTTCAAATAATACTAATAGTAAAGATATGATAGCTATTTTGGATCTGGACGGGTAGGATATCTCTGGGAGTTGGAAGGGGTGTGTCGTGATTCTGCCTTCTCTCACATGCGACACAGGTTCGTGGATCCGAGTATCGCGATTTCTGTTTTATATCGCGTATTGTTACAGCCCTGTTTAATATGAATCTTTTTTATTATTATTTAGGAACAAACGAGGGCCTCTGTTTAAGAAACGCTAGCTCGCAACTGCAGGTTCCAGATCACCGCAGCGTTCAGTGAAATGTGACTTCCTGCTTATTATGACGCAAAATGACGATTTTTACGTCATAATAAGCAGGAAGTAAAACACTTAAATCTTTATTTCTCCCATCTAAGGGGAAAATAAGGGAATAAACCATGACCATTCAAAAATATGACTGGGTTTCTAAAGATACGAAGCCTAATGCAAATGGGTGAAGTGTCCCTATAAACTATTTAAAAACTTGTCTGTTATTTGAAATCAAGCTAAAATAAAATATCAATATTAATTGAAAAGCTTGAATTAAATGAAAATGTGTGAAATTTTGTTGCGCAGGTGTCGCTTATTAGTAATCACTCCACCACCCTCGCGCCATTCTCCCACGACCCTCGGCCCCGACCTGCTCATCACAGTTAACTTGGCAACACAATAAATTTAAGCTAATTAAAATTATTTACTTGAAATATATAAAAAAAACAAAGTAAAAAAATACAAAAAGCAATGTTAAGAAACAAATGAAATGACAAACAAAGCACACAACAAAATTACTAATAATTAAACATTTTTTATACATTTTAGCATTGCTTCTTAGGAGACTTGATCTATAGAGTAATTCTTTACTGGCAACACAAATTTGTTGTTGTTTTGGAACTGTCTGCTTAGCCAGAGGTCTCGGTTTTGGCCAGTTGTCAAGTTCTTTCTGTCTGTATTAGTTTAACTCAAGCTGGCATTTTGCTGGTCTCAGTGACTTCCTGATGAGCACTTTTGTTCTCCTGACTGAACAGCTGTTGACGTATTTGGGCCGCAAGTCTGTCATATGTGTCCTGAGTTAAACCAGCTGGGGTCAGGTTTAAAGCTGTAACGGTGTTAAAGGATTACCCTCATAAATAATGGACAATCAATCACCTTAAACAAACTGCTTCAGGACAGTACACAGATTTTGGGAACATGATGTCAAGAATTTAAAGATTACTGCTTAGATCACATTTCAACTATGGAAACAGTCCGGCTTTTAACTTTGATACCAATTTATCTGTGATTACTTCTGTAATCTAATTACATGCTTCTAAGCTTCTTTGTGGACTAATGAGGAAGTTTAAATTAATGGGAGTTGTCAAATAACTAGGGACGTTCTTACAAAAATGTAGTTTGATTGTTTAATATAGGTGTGTTCATTATTTTTTTGTGTATTTTAAAAACTAAGAAGAATAATATCATTCAGAATTCTCCTGTAGAACATAAGTACATTATAATGCATGATTTTACAGAAAGGAAAGCCCTCATTTTGTTTACTCTCTGAACACCACAGAGACAGAACATTTAAGAAAGAGTGTTAGTCTGTACAAAAGCCCTCCTATTATGAACCACTGGAAAATTATGGCTCCAGGAAAGGTGAATCTTTGTATGATCTTGCATGTTCCTTTGTTTATCATTAGGAGGGAATTTGCTGAACTAATGGAAAAATATGGCTCGAGCTATAGTACCAGTTCTGGATCAGACATCTCTGTTTCCACAGGTATTTTCCATTACGTCTATCACTATATTGCATTGCAGGAGTGAATGACTAATGTCTGAATTTGAGAGAATATTGAAATGACGGACAAAAACAGCCACAGTGTGCCAACTTAAAAAAGCTTTAGTTTAGTTCTTCCATAACATAGTTTTTCTACATAAAGAGCCAAGCATGCATAAGAATATAAATGAACCAAAATGTATGTGTAGTTAGGGTTCAGTAAGATTAAAAAATAAATAAATAAATAAGAAAAATCAGCAATTATGCATTCAATTAATCACACGTGACAGTAAGGACATTTATAATTTGCATTTTTCTTTTAAAATTTCAAATAAACGCTGTTCTTTTGAACTTTCTATTCATCAAAGTTTTCTAAAAAATGTTTAAAGGTTTCCACAAAAATAGTGAGCATCACAACTGTTTTCAACTGTGATAATAATAAGAAATTTTACTTGAGCACCAAATAAGACTGTAATAGTAATGGCTGCTGAAAATTTAGCGTTGATATCACAGGAATAAATTACATTTTTCAATATATTAAAATACTACAGAAGCCCTGAACTACAACGTAAAAAAAAAAAAAAAAAAACATCCGTAAAAAAAATTCCATTTCGAGATCCAAATCAGTTACCGTAAATTAATAAAAAACATTTTGTAATATGCTAATACTTTTTTAATGTATTTTTGATCAAATAAAATACAGCCTTGGTGAGCGTAGAAGACTTCTTTTTATAAAATGACTTTAACTTTTGAACATTAGAGTAAAAATAAATAGGTAAAAAAAATGTGCAGGTTGTTCTTATTCTAAGTGTACTCTGGCATTTCTATTGTAGCATTCATTTGTTTTTTTTATGTGAAAGAGTAGCAGAAGTTTAGTTTGAGAGTATTAAAAATATCTTGTCTTCAGGAAAGATGACCGACACAGCCTCCTCCTCCTCATCTTCCAGGTCAACCAGTCCTCTGCTTCTGAGCCCTAAAGACCCAAACCCAGTATACACCACTGCCTCCATTACCTCCCCACCTCCACAAGTCTGCACGTAAGAACCAAAAGACACACTGTAGATCTAATTCAGATTTTATCCGGTGCTTTAGTATAATCCTTTCGCATATTCTACTATCAAAGTGAATGACAGAACCCAGCAGGTTTCTCACACTAATGCAATTAATAGTGTCCTGATTGAAGAGTTTAAGCCTGAAAAGACCTGACCTAGCCTGAGTGAGAGTGAAATCCCACAACAGATTAATTTATGGTTATTGAAAAAAACAAAAAAACTAATCACCTCAGGATTCATTGTTTCTGCTGTTGATCCAAGCCCCTGTTAACCTCTCTTTCCCCAGAGACTGCATGATTCAGTTGATATGTGTTGCCAAAGGGACAGGATTAGGCTTGGTCATCAGGGGCGGAGCTAACCGTGCAGAGGGGCCAATGGTGTTCATTCAGGAAATAATGCAAGGGAGCGACTGCCAAAAAGTATGTTTATTTATTATTATTGCTATTCTGTAAAATTACACACACAAAAAAATCTTTTTGTATATTATTATTATTTGATATATTATTTATATCAGATTTAAGACAAACCAGCTAATGGTTTAAAACAAATAAATACTTTTTTTTTTTTACTTAATTTGCCTGTGTTGGTTTTTGGCTTGTGAAACACTAGTAGTTTCTGAATGAAGTGAAGTATGTTGAGGTGAGGTGAAGTGAGATAAATGAAGGTGAAGTTAAGTGAGTAAATTTCATGACTGTTCAAAAATTTGGGGTCAGTGTGTTTTTAAAAAATAAATGAATACTTTATTCAGCAAAGATGCATTAAATTAATCAAAAGTAACAGTGAAAATGTTACAAACAATTCTATTAAAAATGTATTGTTCTATTTAACTTTCTATTTACCAAAGAATGGTGGAAAAAACAGTTTCAATAAAAATATTGAGCTGCATAATTGTTTTCTACTTTGATGAGAATAATAAGAAATGTTTCATCAGCATATTAGAAGGATTTCTAAAGGATCATGTGACACTGAAGACTGGAGTAATGATTAAAAAAAATAAAAATTCATTACAATAGACGACAGTTATTTCAAATTGTAATCATTTTTTGCAACATTACTGTTTTTCTGTATTTTACGGTATCACACATGAGCATATTAGACTTTCAAAAACAAAACTTGTAATGCAAGTTGAAGTGAAGTAAATTAAAGGGATAGTTCACTTTGAAGTTAATTTTTGATATGTTTTAGCGTACCTCAAGGGCATCCAAGATTTAGGTGTCTTTGTTTCCACAGTATTTTCAATTTTGATATTTTTAGGTCAGACCGTTCTTGTCTGTCAGTCATATAATGGCAGGATATGGGGTCCTCCCGAAAGAGCATGCATAGAGAAGTCCAAATTAAACATGATTTAATGTAACACATTGATGGCCTAAGACACGAAATGAGCGGTTTGTGTGAGAAAACGAACAGTATTTATATTGTTTTTACCTCTTGTAACCACAGCCTCGTCCAAGTGATCTGAAGGCACAGCTTAAAGGCAACTACCCCTTTAAGCTGATGAAAATTTAAATAAAGTAAATTTAATTGTTTTTCTCTTTGTCTCTCTAGGATGGGAGACTAAAGGCCGGGGACCAGCTCATATCCATCAATAAGGAGTCTCTCGTTGGAGTAACACACGAAGAAGCCAAAATCATACTCACTCGAACAAAACTCAGGTTAAAACTCAAACATATATTTCTATATAAACACAACCTTTCAAGACAATCTTCCCTGGAACATATGCATTGAGAACATATGCACTGAGAGTTGAGAACATATGCATTGAGAGATAGGGAACATATGCATTAAGAGTTCACTTGCAGCTGTATGGTGAGAGACTGTAAGGTCATATGTTTACACATGTCACTGTTTGACCCTACAGACCAGACCCTACAGTAGAGATAGCGTTTATCAGACGAAGGTCTTCTTCTGGCTCCAGCAGTGGACCCCACAGCCCCATCTCCATTCAACCTCCCTCCAGTTCAACTCCCCAACTCAGGCCCCCTGGAGTTCTCGTTCCCAAAATTTCCAGCACCCCCAACTCTGGAAGTGAGACGTTGCCTTCTGTTGACCTTGCTAAGGTAAGACTTAAGACTGTGGCTGATTCCAGTCTGGTAAGATAGATTTAATAATGCATTAAATGTTCTTCGGCACTGCTTGAGATAATGCTTTCTTAAAGGCTTCAATTTGTGTCTTTCCTTACAGATACGACCAACAATAGGAAAGCCTAATCTCACCCCCGTGTCCTCACTTGATAGTGCCTGCACCACAGTGGCCAACTCTGGTACTGGTACCCTATTCCCCCTATAACAATCCCCTAAGTTAAAACTACATAGGCTGTTCTATATGCATTCTCATAAAACAGGTCACATTTCATTCCGTATTCTACATTCCTTAATCCTACCCAATACCTAAACTTAACCACCTTACTATTTATAAGCATTAATTAGGAGTTTTTTGAGGCTAAAGTCATAGTTCATAGTTAGTTGATAGGGAGAATTGGACCCTAAAGTAAAGTGACCAAATACTTTGCACCTGGAATACTTACATTTGACAATTAAGCAACGTATATATGCGTCAATAAAAAACAACATACTTTAAACAAATACAAGATGGTAAGTGCTTTACTATAACTACATTTTGCTTTAAAATAGTCCAAATGAATTCTACATTTGCAAAATGAAACAGAATGGTAACAGAATGCCACAAATGTTGCTATCTTAACTTGTTTTGAACCCAGAACTAACCATAGGCACTCCCATTGTTATTCACAGATGGTGTAGGACTATCTTTCACATTCTGATGCATTGTGAATGAAATTGTACTTGTGAACAATCTGAAACTCATAGATAAGGAACGTTCTGTCATAGCCTGGATTAGACTACCTGTTCAGCAGATGTTTAGACAGCCATGTGCCGATGAGATGCTGTGTTAGAAACTCAAAATAATCCAGCTGGCATGGTTCTGAAAATGAATATTAGCATCAACATGACATAACTCCGGGTGAAATCGAGGATACCGAGCTCTTTTCAGGACAGGGTTTCATTTCATTGACGAGAACCTTTGATAAAGCTCCTCTCAGCTGTGAATATTTTATTTGATTTTTTAAAGCAGATTTAACTAGCTGTACTGAACAACAAACGTGAAATTAAACGTTTTTCTGGGGAACACAAAACATTTGCCAGAGAATGCAAAACCTTTGACTTAATATTTTTCCTCCCATCTCATATTTTTTTTCCAACACCATGTCCCCTCTCCATAATGTTCAAGTCTCAGGTAATGAAAATGAGTCACTTCACATTGAATAAAACCTTAATTGAGACGCCCTTTTATGCCACATTTGTGAAGGCAACTGTCTGATATTATTCTAAAAGGAATTAAAAAGATAAATAAATATTCGGATAATGAATGAGTGAACAATAAATGATGAGATAGGGAGTTCATTGTCAGTTCACAGACCTATGAGTTCAGTTACACTCTGCAGTTATTCATCATAAGAGGATTTGACAAGGTTGGCACTATTTTGAGCAAAGCATTGTGCTTTCTCTCCTGTTCACAGGTCTAGTTGGGGTTGGGTTTATGGAGGAAAAAAAACAGCCTGTTCAAACAATATTAATTCCTGTTGTACATAAAGCATTTATACAGGCCAGTATAATGGTGTAATATTTGAATGAGAGTTTAAATTGTTGACCCGAAGTGTTTTTGGAGTAACACTTACACTACTGTTAAACTTTGTATGACTGTAAGATAAGTCTGTTATGCTCACCAAGGCTGCATTTATTTGATAAAAAAATTGGCTTTACTCTTTAATGCATACTTAAAAAAAAAAAAAAAACCTTACTGACCCCAAACTTGTGAATGGTAGCGTAAGAGTGTATAAATGTCATTGCATTAGATCCAAAATATCATAGCAAATGCCTTCTGCAAACAAATGATTAATTATGAACATGTTGCAATAATGTCTGACAGCTAGAAAGTGAATATATTTTGAACAATACATATTCTTGTAAAAAAAAAGTCTTGAAAAATGTGAGCTATTTATATATATATATATATATATATATATATATATATATATACAGTATATATATATATATATATATATATATATACAGTATATATATATATATATATATATATATATAATAAATACCACTTTGTTTGATATTTTGTTATATAATGCAGAGACACTTTTTTTTTTTTTGCACGAACACTTTATTGGGCCCCCACTGTGAGCAATCTACACGGATAGATTATACTCTCATAGAGTTATGTAAGAGTCTTACTAAAATACGTGATGTGCTTTACCAAAATTACAAACAGCTGTTTTGCAAAAGAGCTTTTTTGTGCAGTTTAACTTATTTGTATTCTCTTTCTTTTTGCCCAGATGCAACCGCTGCCTGTAAACCCAGCAATACCTGCAGACCCTCAAAACCTCCGTCCTCATTTCCCAGCTTCGAACTCAAGCCCGAGAAAATAGAGCAGGTCTGCATAATCATATCATTTCAATTAGAGAATGACAATGTCTGTCAAAGTACCGAATTACAGAAACATCTCTTGTTTACGGCAAGGTCAAGCGCTGGTCACCCCCCTCGGGGGGCTTTAATGATTAGCTACCCATCAGTCTCTGTACTGTATTGATCTTTTTTGGTTTTTACTATCATGTGTGGAGGGAGTTAATCCCACTGTTGAACAATATGTGCAGTTAGCGTGCAATCCCATATCCACTTCTACTGTGGTATGATGGGAAAATCAATAGAGACTGTGCCACAGCTTCAGTGTAGTGCAGCGCAGTCTGTAGATCTGTTGATATAGAAAATAGTCTAAAGCATGGAAAAGTTTTAGTAAGATTTACATGTTACTATAAAACAACCTTCTGGAGTAGAAATCTAGCTAAAAATGTTATATAAAATATATCTACAATATATTATATAATTATATATATTTATATAATTGTGCACACACACATATATATAGACAGTATATATATATATATATATATATATACTAACTGTGCAAAAATAAACATTTTTATTTATAGTATTTATTTAGTGGATGAATTTATCAAAATAAAATAAAATAAAATTATATTTTATACAAATACTGTACATTGAGGTGAGTGTGTGTGTGTGTGAGAGAGAGAGAGAGAGTGAGAGCGAGGCAATGAGCACATTATGCTGGTGTAACTTAATGGTGGTTGTTCTGTCCACAGACACTGGAGGCACTGGGATTGAAGCCGAATGACTCTCAGGTCCCGACTTTGAGAGAAAGACTGCGTTTGAACCCAGGAGGGACAGTGGCTTATGGCGGTGAGAATAATTTCTGTCAGTCCTCATTATGTTGTTGTGCTTTATGTACTGGTGGCTTTTTACCTCTCCTTACTTGTTCAGTACATTTATTCCAGGTTTGTTTAAAAAATTAACTTTAAAAAAAAGTAAATGTTTTGTGTGACTGAATGTATTTTCATTACAATTGTTCTCCTGTAAGATTTTGAGAGAGTGACAAAGGAACTCTTTAAACTACCGTCCAAGTCTGACTTGGAACAGGAAGTAGTGAGATTGACATCAGATGATCTCAGTGAGTCTCCTTCAAACCCTACAGTAAGTGCAAATGATTTTTATTATTGCTGCAGAAACACGCATACTAAATGTGCATTGATAAATTGATATAAAATTATACAGTAAATTGTATTTTTTATTATTTGTCAATGTTTTTAAAATTATAATGTATATATTATTTATATAGAATATTACTTTTATATAATGTTTCATGATCTATTATGCATAATAAATGCGGATATGTGTGTATATACATATATATATGTGTGTGTGTGTGTGTGTGTGTGTGTGTGTATATATATATACACACACACACACACACATATACTGTATATATATATATATATATATACATATCCGCATGTCATATGCAGGGCTCCTTAAAAAATCAATAAAAACATAATGTATCATATGAAACATTATATAAAAGTAATATTCTATATATATATATATATATATATATATATATATGTATGTAAGCAATAGGGTACGAGAGGCTGTGCTGTATTGTGAATAATAAGCTCCGCTTCGTGTCGTGCCTAACAACGTCCTTCAGCCTTATTCACGATACAGCACTAATATGTAATATATATTATTATTTATTCTTTTATAAGCCATCGTTATCGGACTCTGATGATCTGGAGGAGATGGAGAGACTAAGAAAAGACCACATTGAGGCCTTGAGAGAGCTCAAGAGAATACAGGTACCACTTTGACAACAGTTTTAAACACTGTCACATGCTAGAATGTGTGACATTCATTCATGTGTTATTGAGCGAGGCTCTCATTAATCCTGTTTGCGAGAATGAGTGAGCTAACTCTAATGCTGACTCATGTGAAGATCTCTGTTCTAACAGGATAAGCTTGCAGAATCCGAGAGCCTTAATCATAAGATGCATCAAGAACTGACAAAAGTTAAACAGGTACGCAACTCATTCTTAGGCCTGTTTCGCACCGTAAACAATGTAAATGGCACACATTCATTTTGTTGCTCATATTAGCAGATTACAATATTCGCACTGCATATGTACACAGCACAATGCAAAAGCTTAGCTGCAAGAAGAGTTTGCAACATATTTATCAGCACTTTATAAGGCAACAAAATAATTGAGCAAATATTTTTTTGCTTAAGTTGTAGAAGGAAGTTCTACATGCAACAATTAATTTAATAATAAATGTAATAAAACTTAATACAAATTAAGGAGTTTATTACTACAATAATGGGTTTGATGGTGAAAGCTCAGAAATAGCATGATTTTGCCGTTAAACAACTGTGAAGCAGGCCTTTTACCTTAAGTTTTCATAATTATTATTATTATTATTATTATTTTTTTTTGACATTATCACCATACTGTGTTAGATATGCCACAGGGGGGAGCTCTGCACACATGTACTGTTAGATCCTTAAAGGTGAGATGCAGGTGCTCTGTACATGAATTGTAAATGCTGAAAATGCATTATTTTCTTAGAAGCCCTGTTAAAAAAAAAGTCTATGTGTAATATCCAAAAATCTATTTTCGGTGCGTTGTGCTCACTATGGAAGCTTGAAACACCCACATTAGAACATCATGTGGGAGATGAAGTATGTAGGGCATTGAGGGATGGAAAATGGTGTTTGGAAATAGTTATTTTCTATGAGTTATAAAGAACAGGCTCCCACTAGCCCTTTGGATTCTATATCAGAGAAGTGTCTGTTACATAAACCCAAAATCCAAAGAGCTTCAGGATTCTATGCAAGATTAATTTGACTTAAATGATTTTTATTAGACCGTTAATATGATAGCAGTGCGTTCTGATCCTTCTGCTGCGTGTCAATTAAACAAATTTGGCAGTACAGCTAGTCCATGCTGTTGGCACGATTACATTCGATTATGCTTGATATTAGGGGTTTGTTTAAATTAATTAACCATAATTAAGTTTTGCTGGTATGTGCTACAGACATGAATGATACGAATCATGTGGTTTGTTGAGAAGAGGTACCCTATAAACTTAGCAATCAATTTTCATCTTGAATATACTACTGTTCATAAGTCAGTAAGACTTTTTATAAAATAAATTAATTATTTTATTCAGGAAAGACACATTCATTTAATCAAAAGTGACAGTAAATGCTACAAAAGATTTCAATTTCAAATAAATGCTGTTCTTTTGAGATTTCCTACAAAAAATTATAATGATTTCCACAAAAATATTAAGCAGCACAACTGTTTTCAACATTGATAATAATAAGAAATGATTCTTGAGCACCAAATCAGCATATTAGAATGATTTCTGAATGATCTCGGGACACTGAAGACTGGAGAAATGGCTGCTAAAAATAAAATACATTTTAAAATTGATTCAAATTTGAAATTGTAAGAATATCACATTTTACTGCATTTTTGGTCTGGATAAGAAACTGAAAACTAAAAAAAAAAAAAATCCCAACTTTTGATTCATAGTGTGCAATAAAAAGGGTAACAAATATCCCACAGACTTGTATTGAAAGAGACTCTGGAGTCATATTTATAAACCAGAATATATCATACAGACTTGTTGATGGGATCTTTTTGATTTCGCCATTAAAGGTACAATCTATAATGTTTTTGCCGCCAGAGGTTGCATTTTCAAAACAAAAACAAAGCTTGATGACGCTATGATGGAGAGTGGAGCTATGGGAGATGTAATTTTCACCATGCAGAGATGTGTTTGATTCACGAATGTGTGGAATTCACGAATATATATATATATATATATATATATATATATTATAAATTATATTATTATGTTATATATGAAGAGTTCAGATGCAAAAGCCTCTAAATGCCATTTGAAATTTTCTTCTTTAATGATAATTTTTATCAAACTTGTATATTTAAGTTCAGTAATTTCACTTAAATGGCAATTATAATTACCTATTAATTGTTATTTAAGTGAAATTACTGAACTTACATATACAAGTTTGATAAAAATCATCATTAAAGAAGAAAATTTCAAATGGCATTTAGAGGCTTTTGCATCTGAACTCTTCATATATATATATATATACAGTATATATATATATTATAAATCAGCTATCATAAGGAAAGGAAATAATTAAGGAAGCCCCGACTATGTGGAACAGTATTTCAATGTTATAAAGAAACAACACCTACTACATAAAAAAGAAATGCCGCACATATAGACCATTTCACAAGATGTAAACAACACTGGTCCAGAAGCACTTCCTGTTTCAGTTTGTAACTGTTTTCTTTATTTGACATTTAAAGAAAACACCTTAAAGATGTTTGTTTAACTTTTTTGATTCAGTTTTTAATGTTCTGTTGGTTGTATTTTATCCCAGCTTTTATGTAGTGTTAAAAAACTGAAACAGGAAGTGCTTCTGGACCAGTGTTGTTTACATCTTGTGAAATGGTCTATACAGCAGACTACTGCTTGATTCAACTGATACGTTCATTATAAAGAAGTGGGAGTTTGAAATTACCAAATTTCAAACCAAACCAAATTGGAATTTTGGAGATAATGTAAGTACACAAATGCATGAAATATATCACACCGTGAAAGCGGTTTTTGAATATTTTATTACAAAAGTCTTAAATATTGTACCTTTTAAGCAACCACATAGCAACATGTTAAAAACACCTAGAACATGTTTGAACACCTTCACATTGTGTTGGCAAGTTTTGGGCAGGAGGCTCTCCATTTTCATAGAAAATGTAAAAAGTAGTTTATATATATGGTATATGGTGTTTGGTAAACTATTAATGCCCTTGTGTCGAACCGACTGCTGGCGGTATCGTTTCTCTCGCAAAACCAAAATTGTGGTTTACCTTAAGAGATGATCTAAATAAAGAGGAAAATGCTGTTATATCTTTCTCAAAGAGACACACTGAATGTTTGGTCAGCTGTTCGAGACCCTGTGGCGTTTCAATTGGCGTCAGGGTCAATGCAACTTCTGTCTCCCCTTCCCAGAGTGCTTTGCTCCAGTCTGCGGAGTCGCAGCTGCACCCTCTTGGAGCACTACAGAGGGCTCAGTTCGTATCCAGTTCATTATGTTGGAGCGCTATTAGATCTAGTTCGTTCCCTGTGGTATAAAAAGCTTTTTAAAGCCCTCAATGTTTCTGTAAAACTTCTTTCTCTAGTGCTGAATCCTTTCTGCTCTCCTCACCTCCACCCACACTTTACCTTCTATATCTGCCATTAGAGCAACAGGTAGGCTGATGGGCTTTTCAGCATTGAAGCTGTGGGCTTTTAAGCCTCCTCTCTTGCAAGAAATGTGCTGGCAACATCGCCATCCTCGCAGTGCACACCCGGCTACAGCAAAACGTGTGTGGGGGCAGCCGTGACCGGTGTGAGGTGTGACTTGTGACTGGTCCATGTGACCCTTAAGATAAGAACTCTCCATTTAAATCTAATCTTTGCATTGTGCTCTGGGGTTATGGATACGATGGAGAGTTTGCTTTGGTCTTCGAAGAGAAAAAAAAAAAAACTATGATCAGGGAGGGAGTCAGCCTGTCTCAATTACAAAATCCTACCAGTGTACTGACATATTCGCTCCATTAAAAGTCCCACAATGCACCATGAAAACCAGGGAGCATCTCACCATGTCTTCTTAATGAAAGGAAGCATGAAACATAAATCATGTGAGTCAACTCACTGCACATAATGACACACAATAGATGTTTAAAAAACTATATTTAATTATATTTCAGTAAAAATGAATCGCTAAACAGGTAATTAACTTAATCTAGCTAACATTTCTCATTTATTTACGGCTGAAATGTTTCATGTATATGTAACAAGTCAATTATTTATCATAATGTACCTAAAATAACATTTAAACAATGTCAGATATCAGTTCTGCTGTTATTCATAAATACCAGTAGTGATGTTGTACAATAAGGACGTTGTCATGTCACCGAAAATAGAGTCATTACTGTGCCAATGTGCAGTGAGCCAGGAAGGACCTTGGAAGCTTGGGAGCGAATCGAGAAGTACCATATATTTTTTGTTTTCTCATTTTAAGAACATCTTAATATTCTTAAAAAAGAAACAAACAAAAAAATAAAAATATGATGTACGCAATTTTGATTCAAAAGCAAATTTATTTACACTTTTGTTCGTTTATATTAAATTAAATCTTAATTTTATTACACAAATGGTTTTCTTCTTGAAAGAATGTAATAAAATGCAGTATTGTGTTCAAAATGAGAAATTTATATAACACACACACACACAGATTCAAAAGCTGTCAAATAAAAACTGTCCTTTTGAACATTTTGTGCACTTTCTATTAACCTTTATTTTGAACTTTCAAAGCAGCACAGCTGTTTTCAACATTGATAATAATAAGAAATGTTTTTTGAGCTCCAAATCAGCATATCAAAATTCTTTTTGAATGATCACCTGACTGCAATGATTGATCATGTGCTGAAAATACAGCTTGCCATAGAAATAAATCACATTTTTAGAATTGCAGTTTTTACTTTATTCAAATAAATGCAGCCTTAATGAGAATGTCTTCTTTCAAAAACATTACAAACATCTTACCGACTCCAGACTTTTGAAATATATACAGTGTTTGAATATAATAATTTTGCACTAATGCATCCCCTTCAGCTTCAGACTCTAAGGCTTAACACTAGCTTCCGAAGTTCATTGAATTCTTATTATTTTTCCCCCAGCCACCTCGCCTGTTTCTCAAAATTTCCGGGACAGAGTTATGTGTCCCTTTGAATTCCACATTCTTTAAAAATTACATTAACTGCACACAATCCTTATAATAAACTTTAGATATTCTCCATAATACATGGACGTTAAATGGACATAAGTGCTAATTTAAATGCCTCTCTGCTAGAAAAGAGTCAATGTAAGATCCATCATGTCTATTTAATAAGTCAAGTTCTTTCAGAGGGCAATTATCGGTACCCTTTTCATAAGTTATTCCTAATGTGTTTGAAATAAGTTAATAGTGCTCATAATGAGTAAAATGGGTTCCCTTTCGTTGTCACTCCGAGTTACGTTGGATGATGATGACGAATGGGGTTCGCTTAGAAGCCTTTCATCTTCGAAAGAAATAAAACGAGCCAATGGCAAGGAAATGCCATGGGTCGGCGGAATTTGTATGGCGTAACTCCGCCTCTCCGCGTGGGAATAAAAGGAGAATGCTGGCAATATACAGATGTTTTTGCTTCGGAGCCAAGGAGTTCTCTTCACTCCTGCTGCCTATTCTCTGACTATCTTTGAGAATCTTCTAGACGACTTTCACATTCCATTCCTGCATTCAGCACTGCTGCAAGCTTTTCTCTCACAAAAAGAACGTGCCCGCGGCACATCTTACTAAAGACTATTTGGCCGTGTATTTGTGAATTCGAGTGCGGTATTCTAAAAGATTCAGCTGATGGGCACGAGCACAGTTTTGACCTGTTTGGGCTTCGATCACATTCAGACAGTGTTCGTGGATGCGTCACGTTCTCTCAGTAGGAACGTGACCATCTCAATGTAACGGTCGAGACTCGATGAGCTCAATAGAGTGAGAGTACACTCATCCACACCCTAATCTATTTTCTCCACGCGAGATAATACTTCGGCTGGTGACCAGGGTGACCTAAGACAGCAGGTCTGGAACTAATTGACGAAATCTCCTCAGTCCACACCCCATCTTTAACATTGCAACATGCATGGTTTCGAGTGAGTTCACCGAACCAGGCAAGCCCACGATCTCATTCGGTCCTCCGGCTGATGAAATCATGTGTATCGCTGCATCACAAGGTGAGCTGGAGTCCTCTGGAGATGATGGCTCGTCTGTGCTGCCATCCTCGGGTGTGCTAGCATAACAAGTCTGATCCAGAGTTGACAGCTATGCTTTCCCGGGCCACCGCAAGGATTGGGCTTGTGTGGAACCATCCGCCATGTCCCGAGTACTTAAGGCTAATGATTGTTTTTGGGGGGAGGCGAACCCAAATCCTTTCTACCTGGACGTGCATGAAGAGGACGTGAGATCGTGGGAGCCCGCGGCCAAGGGTACAGTGGAGTGTTCTGTGGCAACACATCTGTGTCCCCAGAGCACCTCCACCTGGCTGGCGACCCTCAGCACCCCTCCAATGCCTGTAGGTTTTCTGTCTACTCCGGTGGCAAAGACCTATAGAGCTGTGGGGCAGGCTGCCGCCTCACTGCATGTTATTGCCATCCTTCTGGGTGCTCAATGACATGCACAAGAGTTGGGCTGATTCAGGGCTCATCCAAGAGCTGCCTGCTGTCACGACCTTGCTCTATGAGTGACTAAGGTGACTGCATGCTCCCATGGGTCAGGTGATGTCCACATGCATGGTCAGACATCTCTGGCTTAACCTGGTTGATACGATCGGGACGAGGGTGCCATATGGTGCCCCGTCCCTGAGAAAGGAGATCCTTCCTCAGAGGAATTGGCCTCATTGTACATTGCTCACTCCAGCCCAGCAGGCAGGTTTGAGTACCCTACCACCTGCGGTGGTGGCTACCATAATTTCGCGCATTTAAAAAAGCATCGTCCACGAGACATGCCTACACGTTGAAGTGGAACCTCTGTCAACTGGTGCACTTTTCGCCAAGAAGACACCCAGAGGTGTTCGACCAGTGATGTTCCTTCCTTCAAGATGGGTTGGAGCGACGGCTATCTCCCTCCACCCTCAAAGTATACATTGACCGTGCTCCCTAGGTGTGACTGCCCACTCCACCCAGAGTGTGGCGTCCTTTTGGGCTCTAGCACATGGCGCCTCGCTAACAGACATCTGCAGAGCTGCAGGCTGGGCTACACCCAAAACGCATTCACCAGATTCTACAATCTCCGAGTGGAGCCTGTGTCCTCTCATGTACTTGCTTCAACCAGCTACAGTAGTACCAGACCCGCTCAGGTGTCTTCGCTTGCTCGCCATTCCACTCCACGGACTGGACATGTGCGATATTTCCTCAGGTGAGCTTCCCTAAAGCCCTGAGTTCCTCCAGCACTGCTGATGCCTACGCCAGTGTCTAGTACCTCCATCTGTGTGCATGGTCCCCCCTCTGGGCGACCCCCACGTGTATTTCCAATGTAAGCCTCTCTGAGCATGTGTCTTTCCCTTGGAAAGCTGCCAACCCTGGGGTTGAAATATTCCACCTGCGGCTGGACACTCCAGTGTTCTCCATATGCTTCCCTCTGGGTCATATGTGTATTTTCTAACACTCTAATAGGTTCTGGAATGTGAAAGTTACTCATAATTGTGAACTACCACACACTGTGCTCATCTATAGATCCTCACCATGTAATTAACTTTTTTTTTTTTCATATCAACTATTCATTTAAGGGTTAGTTCACCCAAAAATGAAAATTATGTAATTAATGACTCACCCTCATGTCGTTCCAAGCCCTTAAGACCTCTGTTCATCTTTGGAAGTTTGTCACATGGACGACTTTGATGATGTCTTTATTTCCTTTCTGGACAAGGACAGTATATCATACATACATTTTCAATGGAGGGTTAGAAACCTCTCGGACTAAATATAAAATATCTTAAACTGTGTTACAAAGATGAAAGGAGGTCTTACGGGCTTGGGACCACATGGGTGAGTCACTAATAACATAATTTTCATTTTTGGATGAACTAACCCTTTAAGAGTGCTATCATATCCCACAGCTGCATAATTACAATGACCCAGTTACCTTTCCTTTGTCTGATGACTATTGACTGATGCCGTGCTGACAAGTATCCGATGTTGTTGTGGTTTTCATTAATGCCAAAACACCTTTCGATACCTGTATTATGTAACAGTTTGTTTTACTAGTTCTAGTATTCCAGTACCTACAGAAACTTGTTTGCACATGTCTAGTTTTTAAGCCTCTTTCATCAAATCCTAACGAAGTATGTATTTAACAAATGTATATGTTAAAAGAAGCAGAGCTGTGCTTTGTCATGCTGTGGGAAGTCATGGGGGAAGGAGGGGGGGATGAGACTCTACAGGCATTTCTCTTCAAGTGCAATGAGTTTGCAATGTTAGGGGGGGAAGAGCCCCTGAGCAATGTAGCGTCCTACTGTACATGCACTCTCAGCAATGCCATTCTAAGAGGAACCACTGTTGCAGGAAGCAAAATCTGCAATGGAGGAGAGCCGATCCCTGCGGACCCGGATCCATCTGGCAGATGCAGCTCAGAAACAGGCCCGAGGAATGGAAATGGACTATGAGGAGGTTATCCACCTCCTGGAGGCCGAGATAGCTGAAATGAAGTCTCAGAAATCTGAGCAACCCGGTCAGGGCAAGGTATTCCACTTAGCCTTACTTTCTCCTTCACAACCCACATCCCCTGTAGACTCCGGCTCCGGGTTTTTCCTCTCTCGTGTACTACAAAAAGTAGGTCACTGTTTGCTTTGTATTATTCAGTAACTGGGCTGATGTGCTGCGAAGGCTTTAACATGATCTTGCAGGGTGACGTGGGCTGATGAGGCTATTTTTGAAATATCTGGCTAGCAACCTTGCATGTCGCCAAGAAAAAACTTTAATCACTGCATTTATGCTTTTATTTGATTCATAACATCAACGATTATGTAGGATAAAACTTTTGTTTTCTTAGTTTTTGTTGCAATTGCTTTGCAGAAAATTTGTTATTGCACTCTGTTATTCTTATTTTAGCTCAACCTCCTTCAGGAATTAAGCTAAAATATAAGTAAAACACTGGACTGACAACGCAGTTGTCCAGTGGCACATCTCCCGTTTTAATTGCAAATTTATATTAGACCATTTCTGAATCCATGCCATTTTAATGTATAGAAAATAGTACATTTTGCTGTTAAATTTGACAACTCTATTATTTACACAGGATGATCTACAAAATATGAAAAAAAGGATTTCTGTACTTGAATGCCAGCTACGGAAAAGTGAAACTGTAAAGAAGGATTTTGAAACCTCTACGGGTAAACTTCTGCAGTTTGTGGAGGTGATGTATATTCATTTTCAATTACATTTAACCAACTCCACAATGAATTCACATCCTCTTTTCCTAACATAAGGTTTTACCATACAAATTGCTCATGTTGAATGCTCAGGATGTTAAATTAATTATATTAGCACTTCAATTTGCACTTCATATGTTGATTTGTCAAAGAGCAGCCTCACTCTTGTCCAAATGGAGTTTTCTCATTAAACCAGAACAGCGTAGCCAAAAATGAGGGTCTGGAATGCTCTTCTGATGACAAACATCAATGCAGGCATATATGAAGTGGGTGAATCTAGTCACACAGGCAGAGTGCATCTACTTCATCATTTCAACTGTTCTTACAAACAACACAGACATTTTTTGAACAAATAATTCATATTGTTAGCAGAGAAACTGCAGGAACCCTTTTATTAGGCACCTGTGGAAAAAAAGAAAAATGTCAGAACATACTGTACTGTAAAAAGAACATGACTTCAGTGTGCACTACCAGTTAGCACTCTTTTGGACTGTGTAAATCATAGATTTGTCACAGGACACAGGAAAAAATATCACAGAACTTTTTTTTAATTAGCTTGTGCTTTACATCTGACCACTGTGTAAGATAATGGTAGAAGTACAGAATGCATAACCACCTCAACCAGCCGCACTGAATTCATGTTGTCATAAAACAAACAACATAATAACATTTGAAGAAAACATTTATATGTTATTAATTAGGGTTTTAATTGCAATCTTTTTGGTTAATGGTAAACTTGTAAAGGTCTGTTTACTGTACTTTGGACACCATGCATCAGATATGATTTTGATTGCAATTTTACTTTTATGTGAATGTTCCTGTATACCTACAGTATACACTGTATGTCACCTGTAAAACACTTTATTGTTTAATAACAATAATAATAATTATTATTGTTGTAACATATCAGGTCCAAGGAAGACAAATATAGAAAATAATCAAATTTCAGTTTATTCAGCAAAGTAAATAGGATAATCCGACACACGAACAATACCAGATAGTCAATGAGAACTCAAGAGGAACTTAAATACACTAATAATGAATAGAAAACAAACAGGCGGGATAGTAATGAATACTATCATGGTAACAGATTAGTGATGGGAAATAGAACTATAGAAAGGGAAACTTGACTGAAGTGAAATAAACTAAAAGACCATGAAAACCGACAATTATTACAATAAATAACCATTATTATATTAATAATGAAAAAAATGTAATTTTGTGCTAGGAGTAATAATATGTATATAGTAATAATATTATAAACTAGTAATGATAATCATAAAGTATTTTTTTATTATTAAAAATACAAATTTTACTGTTAAATCTTTATGGATCAGTAAATCATTCAACTATGTACTAATCTAATCACCTGCATTTTAAAACCCCACAGGCTGTCCAAGGCTTCCTGTCTGAAAACCAGTGCGGTCCAAGAGGCTTTAGGTAAGGTCATCATTCTTGTGCTCACGACACGTCAGTCTTTAATTAGGGCAGACCTAATGATTCTGATAAGAGCAATACTACACTTCACTAGCAACAGATGTGTAGAAAAGAGTGATTTAATAACAAAGACACTTTTCCTTTAGGGACCTTTACACAGTCATCAAAGTTTGCCATTAAAGTGTGTAAATGGTAACTTCTGGAGTCTTGTGCCTTCTCTTTCTATTATAAGAGAGACTTAGGTGGCACAGACAGACAGGGATAGTTAATGACTAGAGGTCAGTACAACACCTTCCTGTGGCAGTGATGTTGATTTGGTCCAATCAACATGGCCCCCTGCATTTTCTGCCCTTTTCCCCCGTAATGATCATCCCCACCAACCGAAGAGGCTGCTGTGCCTTTGTCTATTAGGGCTAGAATATGTCCTCATAAATCAGAATGAAGTCCGTCAGTAATTTGCAGCCTTGTGTGTAGGGTTTTTCTTTTTGAGAAGGGGTGCATGATGTTAAATCAATTGAGCTTATCAGTTGAGCTTATACTCTATAAGGGATAATTATCTACATGCTAAATATGTATACATTTGCATGTGTTTTCTCAGGCCCATTTTTTTTTTTTTGGTGCCCATGTTAACAGATTAGAGCATTCACAAAGTCGTTTCAAAGAGTCTGTTTTTGCTGCGCTGCTGAATTAAAGCCACAGTGCATTGTTCTTGGTAAAAATATACTTGAGTTAACATGAAAAATAACACATTTCACCATAAAATCATATAAGCTAGGTGTTCTGTGTTTCAGTCACCATATTACTTTCAGCACTGTGAAGAAAAAAAAAACATTATTTCCTGGAGTTTTTGTGGTTGTTTTTTTTTGGCCCTAACCTCAAAAGCCTGCAAATGATTAAAACTACATGTATATCTTAACTTTATCATACAAACGACATATACTCACCTAAAGGATTATTAGGAACACCATACTAATACTGTGTTTGACCCCCTTTCGCCTTCAGAACTGCTTTAATTCTACGTGGCACTGATTCAACAAAGTGCTGAAAGCATTCTTTAGAAATGTTGGCCCATATTGATAGGATAGCATCTTGCATCTTTATGACCTAAAGAATTTGAATGGTAGCGTTAATTAGATAATTCTGTCTTATAAAATCAGGGTTATCGGGCTACATTAACAAACAGCCGATGCACTACAATATTTCTAACAAAATATAGTATAATGCTCTGAAAATAGCATTCTATAATAATTAATCACACAATAATAATATAATTCATAATTTTCAGTTTCAGTTTCTATGTTTTTCAAGTAATTCATTAAGTTCATTAAGTCAGACTGTGCAGAAAATCTTAAATGTTTCAAACACATGCAAATAATTAAATCAGTCTAGTCCAATTCATTGCAGATTTGACCTGAAATTGTGGTAGTCTCGTAATATGTTTTCATAACACTTGTCCATCCATGTCAGTGGGTCTGAATCCCCTTCCGCAAAAAGTCCACCCTTTATTAGAGGCATGCTGGGCTCTTATTTTATGCCAGTCTGCCCAGCATGCTGTTCATTTCAGGTCGAAGGTAGCACACTTTTCTACAGGTTTTATAACAAGTCAGCTGAAAATCCAACAAGACTGACACAGTTTTCAACCTGAGAGAGTTTCGGGAGAACAGTACACCATAAAATAAAACTAAAAAGTTTTTAATATTTTTATTAAAAACTAAGCTACACTGTATTCTGTTGACTATAACATTGCACCTACATGTCAACTAACTTTCATTAAAGTATTAGATGAGTATTAATAGATTAGATTTGACATGTACTGTACTTGCAAAGTTACTTATAGTCAGTAGAATGTCTGTTGGAGGACCATCAGTATAAAGTGTTAGTAGATATTAAACACAGTCTAATGAGAGTTAGTTGACATGAAGGTGCAATGTTACTAATAGCCAACAGAATGTCTAAGTGTTATTTACCAAATGCTTTAGGGGAAATGGGGTTAAGGTTATTGTTAGCAAGTTCAAATGTCTGAAATTGCTTGCAGCATTAATAAACCATTGTGGTCTTTGTCTTTCAGTTCTCCCAGTGATCCAAAGTTGGCCACACAGTCTCAGACCTTGGCATCGCGAGGTGGGAAGAAGCCACCCTGGACTGCATCTGCTCTTGCTGTGGAAGCTAAAGAACTAACTCATGCCGTCAGAAGCCTTCTAGAGCTGGACTGTAAGTATGCAGGTATGCTTTCTGCTTTAAAGGAGAACTCCGAACTCTAATAAAACATTGGTACCTAGTCAACCGTTCTCTGAGATATGTTTTATATGATATGATAGATATGTTTTGAGATATGATATGTTCAACTTATTGAGTCTGTTTTCCAAAGATGGCTCCTGTTTATACACAAAGTGGACTGTCTTTCTAAAGTATCTTCTTTTTAAACGGTCTGTACACTTACAAAGTTCTCAATGCTTAGTTTTGCATGTAGGGACCCTCATTATGTTATTGTGTTAGTGTGGGGCTATTTTGAGCCTTGTTAGTGGTATTAACTAGCGATTTCTTTTTACTTAGTAAATGCCCCCATTACTAGCGTTATACGCTAAACAGTTTTTAGAGATAAAACTCTTTACATTTGATTATCATGAAAACAAATCTCAGAGAACGGTCTATTAGGTACCAATGTTTTATTAGACCAAAGGTTCATTTTGCGCCGGAGTTCTCCTTTAACATGAAAAACAATGTATCTTTATCATGTAAAAATTGTATCTTATGGCACCAGCAATTTGAGCTGGATGTGCTGGATGAGTTATCATTCCTTATTAAAAGGCGGATGAATAATATTATCTGTTGACAAAACTATTACAACAAGAAACAGACACTGGCAACAGCTTTGGGTTATGATCTAATAAAATGACTTTTTGATTTTGGTTTACCCTAAAAGTCTCACTCGATCTGCCTATTTAGCCATTGTATGAACCCCTGATCCCATTCAGCTTTGTAATTCTCAGGAAAATATGTAGCTTTCCTTCCAGCAATGTTTGACCTTGCGCGGATGCATCTAATGACCTGTAGATGTCAAAACATTGGCAGTCTCTCCATATTACCTTCTCATTTTGAGTTTATTAAACCAAACGTCATTATGACCAAGATACTGCTTATTGTTCACATTTATTGAACATTGTTATGGAACAACTTTCTCCTTTTACAGCAGACAGCCTAGTGATCTACATTTAAGTACATTTAATTATCTATAATAATATTATATAACCATCTTAATCATGAAATCTAAGCCATTTAGATGTGTATATAGTGAACAAATAGGTCAATCCCATAGGAAAAGGTGTATTTCTGCTAATACAAACCTTGTAGATCTGTTTCACCAGCTGAAAACGTTGCCTGGATACGAAGCAGCTGGAAAGCAATTGTTTTTTGTCGCAATTATATATAATTTCAAAGGCTACACAAATATATACACATTTAGAAAGTGTCATTGGTGGGATAACATCTAAACTAAAATGCATTTTTTACACAACAATGATTTTTCATGTCATCTTGATTTGACAGTGTTTACTAAAAGAAAGAATTCAATCTTGTTGGCCTAGTTAAATTGATCCAGCTTGTCAAAACATTACTGATAGCAGTCCATCCAAAGCACAGTCCCTGAAAAAAAAACAACAACAATAAGAAGCTGCCTTTATTTTCTAAAGGTTTTTTCCTAATTAACACTGGAAGCCTCATAAAACTGAGTCATGAAGTAGAATGTTAGGTATTAAAAAGAGATCTTATAGTAAGAATGACTAATAATATAGTCGGATAGTAATATTAACTAAAGTATCCTGGTCTTTGTATCTCAAGAAAGCATGTTGATTGTATTCCTGCTTACAAAGCGGTATGATTTTCTTGCATGTTAAAGGAAACAGACTCGCTTCACGGACTCGCTGCAACTCAGACAAAACAGCATCTCTGGCCTCCTCTTATTCACTGAATACATGGTCTAAACAATGAGGTTAATCAATGATGGCCTAGTTTTTTATCCATTTTCTCTTTTTGTCAAACCACTTTTGAATGAACATGGTCTGCAGGGAATATTTTTGTGAATTTGATTAGTGAAGTTGATTAAATTATACACCTAAGAGTTTCTTCAGGATTGAAAGCTCCAAATGTAATCATTAAAAAAAAAATCAGCTATCAGTCTGAATTTTAAGGTAAACACGACAACGATGTACTAAAAAACAGACGACAATGCTGTCAAACCGATCCCTGTTCAAACTGATCTGCAAAAATTACTAAAATGGCTGGATTGTGCATGTTTTTGTATTTACATGGATACGGTAAAACCTTGTACTTTGAAACTCATTTTCAAAAGCTTGCGTTTTCAGGCGCCCAAAATGCAGTTGTCGTGAAAATGAATGGCCAAAACGCATAAAAAGTTTTCTGTATTCAGTTGACTGTTAGTGCAGGACACATCCTCCTTGAAGTGATAGGTTACCCAAAAATGAAAATTTACTCACCCTCTATCACCATTTACTCACCCTCATCTTGTTCGGAACTCAAAGGAAAATATTTTGAAGAATGATTTTTTTTTTTTCACACAATGAAAGTAAATGGGGTCCAACATTGGATCCCATTGACTTTCATTGTATTAACAAAAAAAAAAAAAAAAGAGAGAGAGAGAGAGAGAGAGAGAGAGAGAGAGAGAGAATTTCAGAACTTCTTTTGTGTTCCAGATTTGGAATGACACACGGTTGAATAAATAATGACAGAATTTTCCATTATTTTCATGTGAACTATCCCTTTAAAATCAGCATGAATCAGAAGATTTGATAGTCTTTTGTTCCCTGTTGTGACGTAATCTGAGTAAAACTGCATCTCGAACAAGTAAAACTGGATTTGAATTTGTGCATCAGGTTTACTAATTGAATCATTGTGGTTTGCTATTGCTGTGATCTCATGTGAGTGACAGGTTGTCTCACCCTCACAACACAAACAAAACGTGAAAAAAGATATTTTGATCAAAAATGTGGGGCACATATTTTATAAAATAATAATTATTATGTGCTTGGATAAATCATTAATAACAAATACTGCAGTATTCCTTAAAATAATAAGAATTAGCGATTTCTGATTTTAAAGTCTGTCTATAAAATATGATTTGACCAATGGGACGATTTAACCACTGTTTGTTTCTACTATTTCTTGGTAACTTAAATTTCCAAGGTACCAAATGATGCACAAAAAAAAACCGAGAGAGATGGACAGATGGATGGATTAAGGGAAGATAGAAGACTCCTGGGTTCAAAGGATCAGCTGAGGGAGGGAAGAGAGATCTAAAGTGATTACTTGGGGGACTGAAAACATGTTCCACACACCTGGCAGCATGTGACCTCTAATCGATGCTCACGTTTTGTTTGAATGCTGCCCTACGGGGGGGAGGACGAGGCAGGCTTTGAGTTGCACATGGAGGGCCACCCTCATCACACTGATCGAAAGCAAAGAGAGCAACCTCAGCCCAGCACAGAGAGACGAGAAGTGGTTTGCACGTGATGGATATTATTTCAGCCTTGTGACAGGCTGTGTACCACTCTGTGTCTCATCAATAAGACAGAGGGGGAGACATGCTTTGGAATAAGGATTTATGATAGAAAAATTGGCTCCGATAAGGTTACACACACCTTATTTAATAATTTAAAGGGTTAGTTCACCCAAAAAATGGAAATTGTCATCATTTACTAGTTTTTTTCAAAGCTTTATTATTCGATTTCTTCTGCAGAAAACAAAAGAAGGCATTTTGAAGAATGAAAACGCAGATTTTTTTTTTTGTGTTCAACAGAAAAAAGAAGGTCGTACAGGTTTGGAACGACGTGAAGATTAAATGTAAATGATGACAGAATTTTCATAATGTCCCTTTAAGAGAGAATCAGCTTGATTTGCTGAGGGGTAATTTGAGGCAGATGAAATTGCCTTTTCAGTATCATAGTGTTGATCTAGTGAAATCATTCACTCTTGGTTACAGATCAAGGCCTTTAGATAACAAAAAGTTGATTGAATTAAAGAGGCATGTGATGAGCTATACTTTGTTGCTGTGTCCCTAGGTCCCTTTGTGATCTGTGGATGCGTCAGAACACTCAGTACAAAAAAAAAAAAACTCAATCTCACTGAGCTGTAGAATTTAAAGACTCAGTTGGGTTGACGGCCATTACAAATAAAGATGAATGCAAGTTTTAGAAAACATCATTCCGTTTAAATTCTGGGAAATGACCATTAAAATATGTACACTTTTTTTTCTCAAGGCTGATAAAGACAACAGCCAAATGTTAGGTAAGATAAACCAACGTTTAGGTGTGTTTCATAAAGCCCAGTTTCACTTATGGTTTGTAAAGATTATGTAAATGTTTTTGGAAAGTTCCTATAACATTATATACAATCTCTAAATGATGAGGGAAAACATTAAAAAATGATTTGATCAATAAATATCAACAACATATGTTTTTATATGGCGTTCAGTCATCAAAATAAGTTGAGCAACTTTTTTTAATAGTTACACTGTAAAAAATATTGTTGGTTTAACTTAAAAAATGAAGTAACCTGGTTCCCTTAATTTTGAGTTCATTGAAATGGGAAAAATTGAGTTAATACAATGAAGGATATTGATTTAATCATCAGAAACTCAAAATATTATGTTATCTGAACTACATAAATTATTTAAGTTGATTTGACAAAAGAAAAAATGTTTTTACGTATTATATTTTACAATATTTTTTACAAACTCATTTTTTTAAGTTAGTTTAAAGTAAATTAAGTTGATATGACTCCAACATCCAAGTTAAGTTAACTACACCTTTTTCAAGGTGTAGAACAACGTTCTTGGAACGGCCTAATGATTGATGAACATGTTCGTAACGTTGAGAGAAAACGTTTTTAGCATTCTCAGAGTCTTGTGTTCAGAATGTTTGTATAAAACTTTGTGAGAACAATTTTTATGAAACATCCTTACAGTGTTATTTGTCAAAGTCAAAATTTTTGTATAGCGCTTTTCACAATACACTATGTTTCAAAGAAGCTTTACAGAATATCATAATGTGTTTATAATATCTTAATATCTTCATGCCACATAATCGCATTTAGCATATTCGCAGCCGAGAGGAAGCGTTCTCAGAACTTTGGCTAAGGTTCTCTCAAAGTTTCTTCAACATTAATTGAACGTTTGTTCAAAGTTATCTGGTCTTAAACATTCTCAAAATGTAAGCACAAAAACGTGATTTATACTACGTTCATGCAACATATTTTTTGGAATGTTATAGATTGGATGTTTAACACTTTTTAAACATAACTACTTGTTTGATCATTAAAGAGAATTGAAGAGAACAAGTCACAAAACGCATGCATAAGGAACAAACAGTGAATGCAAGTAGTACAGTAGGCCTATGAAATACAGGCAAGCCGTTATATAATACACTGACTTCACTGATGCATTACATTAATCAATCAGGACATCAAACTTCCCCTTCTGTAACAGCATTTCATTTGATTCTGAACTAAATTCTCTCATCGTCATTATACTCACAATTTCATTCCACAATATTTTTAAACCAAACATCCAGACAGCCGTTACACTCATCAGCCTGAAAGCATTCAGCATTACAAAGCATTTCGTTTGAAACTCCATATGAAACAGTTCATACAAAACACAATTTTGTGGTGTTTTCTTTTTCTGTTGTCTTGCTAGATTTGACTTGTGTTCTGTATAGGTGTGTGTTTGAGTTTGTGTAATTTTTTCCCCTTGTTTAACTTGGTGGGGTTGTGTTTTTTTCTTCTTTTTTTTTTTTTTTTTTTCATTTTTCATTTTACAAGAACAGACACAAACAAACAACCCCCATCCCCCTCCCCAAAAGAATGCTCCATAATTTTAAAGTAGGTATGTTTAGAGGTCACATTCCAATATCTCATTATCCACAAAATCTAGATAGGGATGCCAAATTTTAATTAAGGTGTTGAATCCTTTTCTAAGGTTATATGTTATTTTTTACACAGTTATTCATTTCTAAACACCATTTAGATATGGATAGAGGGGAATAAGACTTCCATGTAACAGCAATACTCTTTCTGGCCACTGCCACAGCTATTTCCTATAAATCAATTTTCATAAAGTTCCCCAAGCAGAATTCTGGGTAATGGAATTCGAGTAATCTTAGTCAAGACATCACAAAAGTCAATTTAGAAATCTCTCATCTTCACACACAACAGTACTATAGGAGTATAGGAAAGAGCCCACATCTGCGGCACATCGGAAACATGTATCAGATAGATAAGGCTTAAACTTGTGAATTTTCTCTGGAGTCAAATACAGCTGATGAAAGAAAATGAACAAGTGTTTTTTTGTTGTTGTTTTTTTTATTAGTTTAGAAAATGTAAGTGAGAAGATGTTTTGGACTGTGTTCTTCACAGAGACTCATACAGTTTAGTTATGAGATGTGAATCTTAAAGTAAAGTTGTGTGTTATTTTTGTAATTCTAATATTTAATACATTAGAGACTTGTATATTCTGGAAACATGTAAACATGTATAAAATTATTAATGATGAAAAATGTTTGCTTTGTGTCAGAAATAATTTTTAATGATAGAATGGAATATTCCTCAAATGTTAACATAAACCAAGTAAAAAACTAAAAAATCTGAACGTTTAAAAACATTCCGAAATAAAGATTTCGTAACTTAATGGAAATGTTAGCAAAACATAAATGGAATAGAAAATAAGGCCAAAACATCACAGACATGTATTTCATTACTCAATGTGGCGTGACAAACATTTTTCTGTTTCGTGTTTCGACAGTCCTACCGATAAGAGTGAATAGTGCAAATTTTAAAATAAAAGTATTAGATTTTTTATATAAAATCTTTTTTGTTATTGCCTCAAATCCATTTAAATCTTTTAAGTCCCCCTGTAGTGAAAATCAAGTTTTTAATGTTTGAATGTCTATGTGGTGTTTTTTTTTTTATTATGCTTTAAGACAAACCATGTGCAAATTCATAAACACCATTGCTGAGTATTTTCTCCTTAAAACTGCAGTGAACAAAAGACAGTCTGAAAGCTGGTGTTTCTGACATCACAAACTACTTTATAACCAATTACATCAAGGTGTGAGCATCAACGAGTGGAGCTCTGAGCTGGTGTAAGTGAGTGGAGGTGGGGCTCATTAGCATATTCATAGTAAATGAGGCAAGTGACATTCAAGCTATTTTAAGGCCTGAAGATTTGTATTTATTTATTTTTTCAGGGAAAAAAGGTTTAAATATGTAATTTTGGTGATCAAAGATGAGTTTTAAGTGATCAAATTATTGACTACTGGGAGACTTTATTTAATTCCTTTAAAAAGACATACGCCCCTCCCCAAAATTAAATAAATAAAATAAAATTGGTCCCAACCATAGTATTGAAGAAATGGCAAGTGACATAATGATACATGGAAAATTGATTGGAAGCCAAAATGTCCTATACATTTCCATTCATTTGTTAATGGAAACGTTAGACAACTCAATTTATTGCAAATCCCCGTGGGCATTTGGGCACTACAGAATATGTAGCCAAGGATATTTGTTTGTTGAAATTTAAGACTTCATAAATTATTCTTTGGCCTCTCCTGTCAAAATGTTGATTGTGTGTGTAATCTAGACAGTGGGATACTGTGTGTGTTCTTTTCATCATCATTTTTTTTTATAAGAAGTTCATGTTTCTGATGAGAAAGCCATTATAAACTCATGTCAAGGCATTGTGTATGTCAGCAGACTTACTGTCAATAGCACTTCCTGCATGCACAGAGGGAGTGTCAAGATCAAATTCGGCCAGGGATTTGGGGTGGTGATGGCGCAGTGGATAAGACACATGGCTTTGTTGTGAGAGACCCAGGTTCGAATCCACTTTGAGACACTAATGTGTCCCTGAGCAAGACACTTAACCCCTAGTTGCTCCAGAGGTGTGTGACCTCTGACATATATAGCAATTGTAAGTCGCGTTGGATAAAAGCGTTAGCTAAATGTAAATGTTAACTTTTTTGGGGTTTTTTAAGCAAGACGTACTTATGAGATTACTGACCTGTCTCATATCTTGCCTTCAATAGAGTCTGCTTACATTTTTTGACTGAGCTCCATTAATAAAAACCTAGCAAAAAGTGCATGTTTTTGTGCAAATGAGCCTTTTTTTTTTTTTGGCTTCAGACTTCTCCAGTATCTTGTTTATTGTCCTCACATAAATGAATCTGATTACTCTTCACTTTTTTTTTTCCTCCGTTCACAGGTTTACCGTATGGCTGGGATGAGGCGTACACAGCAGATGGAGTGAAGTACTACATAAAGTAAGTCATGATGAGTCCACTTCAATCATACAATTGCACACTTGCATACATTCTGAAATTCATTTCCTTTGTTTCTGGCCCCTTTCCCGAAAGTAAACAGCAGTACTCATCTTTTGAAGGGTACTTCATAAGAGATAAACAGTTTGACCTACAGTAAACTTCCTGAATATACACATTAAAAAGACCCACACTACAACCAACTATTCTGAACAACATGATGCAAAATTGCAGATATAGCAAACTTTGTTATTGACAAAATGTATGTAACCTCATCTCTAGAGAAAAGAAACACATCTCCCCTTCCCATGAGTATGTTCTTTTATTTGCATAACTTTCAAACCAGACTAGTTCAATATTGCATACTTCATCACTCTTTTGAGTCTCGCACGCAACACCACACCCATGAGTCCAGCATTCTCCATTACACCCACACCAGCATCAGAGCATTCACCTCCATGCACAAAATGCCCTAAGCATGTTTGAATGTGCTGTATGAACTATTCAAAATGTTGTGGTCAGTAAGAAATACATACTTCTATTCAGCGAGGATGCATTCAATTGATTAACAGTAAAGACCTTACAATGTAAATTATATTTAAAATGAATGCTATTCTTCTGAACTTTCTATTAATCAAAGAATCCTTAAATTAACCAGTACTACTAATTTCAACATAATAAGAAATGTTTCTTAACTCTTTCCTCACCAGCGTAAATGTGGGTAAGATTCATTAAAAAAAAGCAACATTAGGAACAAAGTGCTGATAAAATCAGGTTTTGTTTAAAACTACAATGTGCATAAGCAATGCTTTTATCGCTTGTTTCTGAATTAAGTAATTATTTCACGACTGCTAAAAACATGTGTATTATATACAGTAGTACAGATAGTATGAATGTACTGTAATTCATCCATACTACATTCACCATACTGTCTTTATCATGTGACCTATGGCCTAATGGGATATAGTACAGTGTCCATCGTATGCACAATTCGGAATATTGCCTGAAGTAGAAAGTCATGCGGGTACTTTTTGCCTTCTCTTTAATGAGTACTGTGAATTTGGACACCTTTTTTTTTACATAATGTCTTTTGCCTACTATATAGTAGGGAAGTATGCGATTTTGGATGCAGCTGTTTTTTTTTTCCGTAAATGACGGAAAATACCATGTACAAATCAGCATCTTATAATGATTTCTGAAGGATCATGTGATCCTTTAGAAATCACAATTTTTTATTTTATTGGCAAAGGTGAATTTTCAGTAGAATTTACCCTATGTATTCAAATATTTTAAAATAGATTATTCCGATTTTAAAGCTACACTGTGTGATTTTTACCCCCATCTAGTGGTGAAAAGGTATATGACCATCCAGTGAATATTAGTTTCTGTTCCTCTCAATTCCAATTTCGTTTTAACTCTTACGGTGGCCAATGTAGTCCAAGATTAACATGGTTTCCAGTTCGACCTCGTCCATGAGTGTTAACTCAAACTTAAACAGGAAAGGTGAAGCTTGAATTAACGGGTTTGTCCCTCTTTGGCTAATGTACTTTCAAGATGGAGGGGCAACATGGCGACCGACATTAGAACCCCTTGCCCGTATGTATTTTCAATGGCATATTATACACTCACGAGAATACTTTATTACTTGAACGAAGTAAATATACATTTAATGAGCACATATATTTTTGAAAGAACTAAGTGTTTTAGCTAAGAATAAACTAAAAGAGTTACAGCTTTAAATTGAAAAAAATATTTCACAATTTTACTGTTTTAACACAATTTTTAATTGAATAAAAGCAGCTTTGGTGAGCGTTAGAGACTTCTTCCAACGACATTCAAAAATCTCACTGACCCCAAACTTTTGAATGATTTTTCTTTTAATCAAGATGTAAGTTATTAATTGGATGTTTATTTTTTCCTCCAGTCACGAAACTCAGACAACATCATGGACGCACCCTGCAATGAGATCTTTGGGTCTGTCAGAACCAAGAACGAATGACCAAACCCTGAACTCTCCAGAAGCCTAGAATGATTCTGAAGACTGTGTGCACAATTCACTTCTTTCTGCTGAAAGTGAAAAAAAGTGATATAAATATTCACTAAATGAATCTACAGGGTCCCACTCATGACATGCAGACCAAAAAAAAAAAAATATGTATATCGTGGCCATAAATTAAGAATTTGTAATGGCTCTGTATGATTCTGACTTTCAACATTAGTTGATTTCTAACTGATATTGAAACATGCACATTTGAGTTTGAGTGTTTTTGTGTCTGTCCACTGTTTTTCTGGCATTTAAGGCATTTCCCCTCATGTTATTCACTGACCCCTTTCTATTCTGTACCTCGACAAAAACAATGGACAGACCCGATCCGTTTTTCGAAAAAGTCAAACATATTTGCACTTGTTTGAAGTCAAAGGACGTGGCCTCTTCGGTGAAGCAGGAACTTTGGAAGAACACTGTGAGTTAATCAGGATGGACTGTTTCTGTGATGTTCATTCAGTTTGGCTTATGTTTACTGCTACTTTGATCCACTATTTGTGAAAGCATTTGTTGAAACAGGAATTAGTTTTCTTGTTCAAACTTCCTCGAACCAGTTCTGCGACAGTTCTTCTGGAATCATTTGCACGAGTTCACTATTATTGTTCTTCATATTAAGATGCATTTTTAATTCTGCTGTTATCCTTAGCAGACTTTCTAGCCACATATAACTGTGAAAGTGTCTTCTCTTGCATGTGCAATTAGTTCTGCGCTTCCATTAGAAATGTGAGTTTAACGTACCCTAAGCCTTATGTGTACAATTTCTTGGAAAATGACACAACATGGCAATTTTTGCTTTGTTGTGAATTCATTCTGCCTAACAGCATCAATTTAGCCTCAGAGGTCTCTTTATGGTAGATCATGAAGAGTTATTATGTTTTTCCTTTAATGTGAATACTTTTGTGGTTATATTAAAGATCAACTGATAAACCCATCCACATTTTTTTGCCCTTTAAAAGAATATTAGCTGGATCTGTCTATTTTAGGTTGCACTTCACAAGCACTTTACACCCTAGGCAAGAAATATTGATTTTTTTCTCCCCCCTCCATGCCACGGCAGGTACTTTTATTCAGTATAGATGCTCCCAGGAAATCTTAAATCATATAAATGCACTTGAATCTTATATAAAAACAGTCCTCTAAAGAAAAAGGCCTTTAATTATGAATTATTAACAATTACAGTAGCCTAAATACAGAACACTGAACTAACAATATAAACTCTGTTAAAATTTGTTAAATAAAAACACTGAGCAAAACGTCTTTCTGCAAAGTCCTTTGATAGAACTTGTTGCAAATATCCTGTATTTCAATTATAATGCATGGTTGCACTCATTCTAATGCTGTCAAATCCCATTTTAAGGTTTATGGCTACAAAAATAATGCTAAAGAGTCCATTAGAATTGACTTTATCTGAAAGTATTTTGTTTTAAATATGTAAATGTTTTGTGAGAGCATAATTTTCATCAAAATGTCTAATTACAATAACAGTGATAAGAATAAGACTATTCTGAAGCAGACCATTTGACTTTCATAAGTCAAAATCGTATCTTTGTGCTTAAGATTTTGTTATTTGATGACGTCAGATTGCTAAAAAACAATGTTAATGAATAAATCATTCTAGAGTATTATGCAGGTGAAACATGAAAAAATTTGAATATGATGCAAAAGTTATTTTATTTCAGTAATTCAACTTAAAAGGTGAAGCCAATATATTTTATAGACTCATTGCATGCAAAGAGATATTTCAAGCCTTTTTATTTGTTATAATTTTGATGATTATGGCATACAGATATGAAAACATTTTCACAATATTCTAATTTTGATTTTGGGTTTTCATAAGCTGTAAGCCATAATCATCAAAATTATAACAAATAAAGGCTCACTTTGCATGTAATGAGTCTATATGATATATTAGTTTCACCTTTTAAGTTGAATCACTGAAATAAATGAACTTTTATATGATATTCTTTTTTTTCGAGTTTCACCTGTATCCTCTACAGGTCTGCTTGCCTCCTAAAGAGTTGCAATCTGTTTCCAATTTGTCAGACACATGTTACAACATGTGGTCTAGTTGTTACAATTAGAGGAGGAGCGGCCAGTCATGGCCTACTTTTCTGAAAAGCAACATCACGTCTGATGGCTTTAGCAACCAGTTACCAAGGTAACAAAAAAGAAGAAAGACAAGTCTAGCACCCTAGAAAACCCTTTTACGGTATTGGTGTATTTAGAAAATTACTTGTATTTACTGTTCATACTGTATACATCTTGTGACTTTACCTTCATTGGGTAACAATGTAAATGGGTCAGAACTGAATTGTAAAGTTTGTCGCTAGGCTACACATGAATGTAGGCTTTGAAAAGATAACATGCAAGTCATTTGTTGGAAGACGGGAGCAGGTGAAAATGTGTGTTAGCAGCACAGATTACGTGAACAGTGCATACCACAAATTTAAATCACAAGTGAGCTTTTTATTGTTAACAGGGTGTTTAGGCTTACATTATGGGATCAAGCTTGGCAACAGTAGCCAATCACACTGGTCTGTTCAGTTGATGCATCATTCTAATAATGAGATTCATCATTATGGAATTATATATAGCTATAATAATAGCCAATGATGCTAGTAGTTTGAAAAGTAGGCCTATTTTGAACAAGTTAATCTGATAACCACAATACATTCACAACATAGTTGGGTAGGTTGTCACAACAGCACTCTTTTTATTTAAAACTAATTGAAACGTATACAAGTACTAATACTACTTTAAAGCAGCTAAATATGAAAACATAACACTAGCTACCTACGTAGGCCTCCCAAAAATTACATTTTAGTTTTTAGTTTGACATTAGCAGTGTTCATGCACTAAACAAGAGTGGTGAGCGACCTGTTCAGGCTAAACTAACTACCCCCCTATATTGGACTGTAAGCTTTCGATTTTTCCACCGCGTGTCAGCCTATATGTGCATGACTGCATGTGATCGGAACGTCACTGTCAATGGCAGTCTCAAGCCTTCAGTCTTCATATTTCTTTACGCTGGAAAAATAAAATTAGCATATCTTCGATAAATATCTAGCTGAAATAATATGCAGAGTCTATTAGCAAAACGTGCCACTGTTTGCTAGATCTCTCTAGAAACATAAGCAATATATATAATTTACTTAATTATTTAAATATCATTTAAAGGGATGATCATTACATCACCCAAATGTTTTCATCATTCTCAAATCCTTTACTCACCTTCTTGTTGCAAACCTGTATAGGTTTCTTTCTTCTGTTGAACACAAAATAAGATATTTTAAAGATGGTAAAGATGCTTTAAAGATGCTGGTTAATGTAAGGATGCTGGTTAAGGTATCCCTCAAATCTGATTGGTTGATTGGAATTTTTTTCTAGGATTGGAATTTTTTTTCTAGGATCAACAAAGGTGTTGATCCAGGAACATGTTGTAGCCTACTTGGTGAAATCAAGTTCAAGTGCACACACAGTAGTTCACTGGGACACCTGTTTCACAGGCTTGTGCCCCAATAAAAAGGGTGACACCCCTGCAACTCTGGCCCTACAAAAGAATTGAAATTGCATTTGAGAAAAAAAAAAAACGAGCATTGATTATCAAATTTACATTCATTTATTATTTATTTAGGAGCTATTTTATCACAATATAAACTATAAAAAAATATGGCAAGTGGCAACACAGTCTCAAAACTGCTAACTAGCAAGTGGAGCGAAAGTGTGGCCCCGCCTCTGATTCTCTGACGTCACTCGCCTCACTCTTGACACATGGTGATGGTCACATTTCTTACACACACACTCACGCACAAGCCACCTATGCCGGTGCTGTTGAGCTGGATCTTCCACTTGTCGTTCTTAGACGAATGATAGTTCATTTACCTGTTACAAATTTAGCTGTTGATTTCATTTCAATTTTTCACAAATAGCGTAACGTTACTTTTCGCACGGAATAAGAGTGATTATGTCCAGACCGCTGAATTCAGCTTTTCTACCTCCGCAAACTCACGGCGTTTTGAAGGCGCTCCTGGAAAAACCTCTGAAACTACCTGGGCAAGATGAAGGTGATCGAAGCTTTCACTTTGTTGCATTACAGCATATATATATATATATATATATATATATATATATATATATATATATATATATATATATATATATATAATTGTATTGACCTACTGTTAGGCACTCTCGTCCGATTCGTGCTGTGATCTAGCTATTGTTCATTGCTGTTTTGAATTTTTACTTTTCTATCTTTCTTGTGTTGTCCGTCGTTAAAGTGTCTCTCACATTAATAAATAAACTTCACTTAAAGAGACATCACATAGCTGAGATTAGTTGTTCTGAATAATACTTTTAAAAATACATTGAAATGATGGAAATTTGAATGACATGTATTAAAATTAATAAAACATAACTTAAAATATTGATGCAATAAAGATTTAAAATGTAGGCTAACCTAGGTTCAATTGTAGCCTTATTACTATTTTAAACAATTGGTCACTTTACTTTAAGGTGATGCAGTTACATGTTAATACATGTAGCCTACTTACTCTAGTAATAACATTAAATTATGCATACTTACAAGTAACTAATTGTAAACCAAACCTTAACCCAATCTTAACTCTTTAGTATACTATTAGTTAATTAATATTACTATTAAAATAAAGTTTAACTATTTGAATATTAACTGTAGAAAATTGTGTTGAAACTTAGAAAAAACCAAGTAAAACTGGGATAAAATTGCAACATTAAACAATGGAAATATAGGCTATATATTTTTTACATTGCTGAGCTTTGCAGCTAAGAATTGTTACTTTAAAAACCATTGAAAAATTAATATATCACGCACTTTCAAATCCATTTGAGCTATAAACAAAAGCTGTTTGAATTTGGATGGATCAAAAGTTGATGTGTTAACTAATGGTAATATCCTTACAGGCTATGGGAAGGAGAGAGAAAAGGTGAAAAAGCTAGAAGAAGAGAAAAGCGCTCCACAGTCGGCTTTCTTAGGGCCAACGCTTTGGGATAAAACATTGTCTTATGATGGAGACGGCTTTGAGTTGGAGTATATGGACCTTGAGGAGTTCCTCTCTGAAAATGGCATCATCTCCAGTCCCGCACAGCATGACCAAAGCCTCCACCAGCAGCACCAGCAGCAGCACCAGCAGGCGTCAATGCCACAGGCCCTCGTCTCAGTCATGGACCTCAGCAGCCGGCCCATCACCTCCATCCACACGGGCATGGTCCCTCAGAACTGCCTCCACAGCACGGGCAGAACAGGTACTGTGTTACTTTAGACCCAGCAGATCCACTCTATAGATTAAAAACAACTCTTAAGCTGGGTCAGATGTCAATCTAAATATGACAGTGTGTATGAGTGCAAATGGGAAGCTGAGGATTTTAGTTTCAGAGTCTCAACCTTTCCTCCGTATTGCTCTGTTATGTTATTCTGAATTTCTGTTCAACTTATTCAAAGAATAAGGTTACTTATGAGCTTATGAAAATATACCAATGATATGATCATAAATAGTCTCCACCGGGGAGACAGGCAAGACTGTATGAAGTTGAAAAAATGAAAAATTAAAAAATTAAAAAAATAGAGAGGCTGTTTGAGCTGTTTTTTTATATATATATACATGAAAAATAAGTTGTCAAATGTAAAAAAAAATTCCCACCCATTGCAAGTTCATCTGTGAATGGAATTTTCAGACTAGCCTATAATGTCATTTTCCACTGACTAGAATTTGCAAACCGATGACTCTTTTAGTCTGAGCATTTGGTGTGCAACTTCTGTGCAAAAACTTTGGGTGAACTGTATGTCGTTTTGGCTCTTGTTCAGTTCGGTCTTTAAAATCAATTTAAAAATGAATTTGATCCATTTATTGAATATCAAAAATATCAAATTGATTAATTACAAGTTTAATTGTATTAGTTTTTTTTTTTAATTTGAACATTAACTGAAGAAATTTATGTTGAAAAACGGATAAAGGTAAGTAAACTGACCACTGACTAAAGTTTGCAGACAGATGAATAGTTTCCTAGTCTGAGCACTTGCTGCGTAAAATCCAAACTTAGTTTTATGGAAAACCTTATGTCAGCTAAAATTATTATTTAAAAAAAATCTGCTAAAATGGACACAGGATGAAAATATGAAATGCTTTCCAGAAAAAGGTTTTATCCTGGCACTTAAAAAAACAGGTTAACGCTTATTCAAACATTTAACATGTTTTATTTTTGACCAAAACAAACCCCAGAAGTACACACGAAAACAAGACTGTACTAGAGATGTATTGTTCTTCATTTATGAATGTCTGGTACACCACCTAGTGGAATGAAATGCTCATGACAGCCTTTTCACCATGTGTTATTAGCACTAAATTTTTTTTTTCTCTCTTACAGTTTTACCTCCATCACGTAACACGCCAAGTCCTATAGACCCGGAGGCCCTTCAGATACCGGTGAACTACGAGCCTGATCCCGCAGACCTCGCTCTGTCCAGCGTCCCGGGCCAGGAGGTTTTCGACCCACGGAAATGCAAGTTTTCGGAAGAGGAGCTGAAACCTCAGCCTATGATCAAGAAAGCACGCAAAATCTTCATTTCTGATGATATGAAGGTAACTTGGGTCAAGTTATTCAGTTTGGTCACTCTTTTCACCCTTAATCATTGACCAGCTGGGCAACAGGCTCTTGCTAAGAAGCTTATCTCTGTTCATTCATCCTTCTGCGGCCTGGCCCACGTGATCCTCCTTTTTTTTTTTCCTGGGATCGCCACAGTTCTGCCGCATTTGGGATTAAAGGATTTGCCTTTTTTAATTTGTTCAAATAAAAGTGAATCCCTCCCCAGCTTTGCAGAGTAGTAAATTACTCAAAGCTGATTGCACGGCAGCAAACGCGTGAGAAAACTTGAGTTTTCTCTCGTGCTCTCCCTGTTAAACGTAAATAAGTATGGTTTGTCATAATTATCTGTTAATATCAATCTGAATTTGCTATTACTATTAGCCCTGTAAAGCCCATTTGCAGTAATAGTCAAAAATATTTATTTTTTGTTAAATGGAACCATTTATTGAACCTTTAGTCAAGAACAACTTAAAGTTTGAATGAGGTTTTTGCTGACTATAATATTTCATACATCAGGCTTTTATGGCTTACGTATATAATATGATATAGCAGAATATTTGAGTTGTGGAAAAAAAAATTCACTGGCCAAAATATGCAATTTAATGCAAAATAAGCTGTATTTCTGATAGCTTGTAATGTAAAACAATTAGATTTTATAACAATATAGCAGACTACTTACATAAAAAAAAATATATATAAATATCAGCTGTCACTATTATTCCCAATAATATGTCTTAGTAAGACGCGTTTTATGACCATAGTTTTTACTGTTGGAGTGAAACATGCAATGCAATACAGTAATTGAGAGAATGAATATTAGACGTTTCATATTTAATACTCACATTTCTACGTGATGTATTAGGGCTGTCAAACGATTAATCGCATCCAAAATAAAAGTTTGTTTACATAATATATGTGTGTGTGGTGTGTATAATTATTTTATATATATAAATACACACACACGCTTGTATATATTTAAGAAATATTTTCATGTATACTGTATATAGATTTATATATAGATTTATATTATATATAAATATGATTTTTTTCTTAAATATACATGCATGTGTGTGTATTTATATTTATATACAAAATAATTATACACAGTGCACCCACATATATTATGTAAACACAAACTTTTATTTTGGATGCGATTAATCGTTTAGCAGCCCTATGATGTATTGATAATTAAGCAAATATTTCCAACATTTATTCTCACGGTTACTTTATAAAAACTAGTAAATATTACTAAGCAAAAACATACATACTCCAACTTGAAGGTGAAATCAAGATCATGTTTATATCTAGGAGGCCTTAGACATTTGCATGTCAGTTATACATTAGGCTTTGTCGGGTTTACATGTAACCAATTAAAAAGCTCTAAATAATCTTGACATAATGTAACTAGGCGCTCCTGTCTCTTCCCCACCCTTTTTTTTTTCTGCATAATTTGAGCAGGACGACAAATACTGGGCACGGCGCAGAAAGAACAACGTGGCCGCCAAGAGGTCACGGGACGCTCGGCGCCTAAAAGAAAATCAGATTGCCATCCGGGCTGCTTTCCTGGAGAAAGAAAACGCTGCTCTCCGACAGGAAGTTGCCGACATACGGAAAGAGCTGGGGCGGTGCAAAAACATCTTAACCAAGTATGAAGCTCGGCACGGCACCCTGTGAGACAGACTCCACGGGTTCCCTTCCAATTCGAAGGACAATATTAATGGATAAGGTCCGCTGGGCCTCTTTTCCAGCCAGCTCTCACCTTAAGTCTGTTCTTGGCACCTTAGAAGGCAGAAACATTTCATTGTGTGGTTGTTTTAATACATCTAGTAGAGATCTCTCATCCTCTTTCTCTATTTGTTATCGCAAACAAAGCCATCATTTTTTTGCCAACCGTGTTACTTATTATTTGCCTTGTTCGATTTATCAGTCAAATCTGAGCTGCTCCTACAGACTCACATGTGTGCTGTGTATGGGAGAGAAGGTACAGTACATGTGCAAAGCTGCTCTAGGCATTGTGTGTCCGTAAAGACATTATTCTCACAGACAGAACCGAATGTAGCAAGATTTGAGAGTTTGAAACAAATTCATATGATCATAGTTACTAAATATCTGTATTTTATTAGAAAACAGACAGTCAAGTTGCTTACTTTACAGTATATTTTTTTGGGAACATACTGTACAGTAAGCAACTTGACAATGAAATGTATATATATGGACACTGTAAAAAAAATATTTTCAAGATTTGTTATCACAACATTTTTTTCTTTTGTCAAATCAACTTAAATAATTTATTTAGTTGAGATAACTTATTATTTTGAGTTTCTGATGATTAAATTAATCTCCTTCATTGTATTAACTCACTTTTTCCAGTTCAATCAACTTACAATTTCAAGGCAACCAGGTTACTTACTTTTTTAAGTTAAACCAACAATATTTTTCTTACAGTGTAATGAAATAAGGATGCCAGCTATAGAGTGTGATTAAAATTGGCTGTGATTTTATTATGAACCAGTAGGTGTTTGTTCAGTGAATGTGGAAATTGACTTTCAGTTCAGTGAATATGAAAGATAAACTTGGTTGATAATGGACCGAAAAAAAAGGTAGCGTTTCCACAGTTATTAACACTCCAATAACGTTTAATATTTTATTTCATATATCATATTTTTTTAATACACACTATTCCATAAAAAAACTGCTGCAAGGGGGAGTGATGGCAAATTTGCATCTTTCTCTCTTCTGACTGCTGCAATCAATCTCTTTTTCTTTTCTTTTTTTCTTTTTGGGAAGTCGAAGAAACGCTATCGTGGATTTTTTTTCTTTTGCTATTAGAGCAAATTCAGATACAATAGAGGTTTGCCCTACTATGACGACTTCCGCTTCTGAGAACCCCGGATGTGTGAAAAGGGTTCTTTCAGTATAAAAGTCCACACTATATTGATTAGTTTTTTTTAAAGCTACACTGTGTAACTCTTTTAGTTTATTCTTAGCTAAAAACACTTAGTTCTTTCAAAAATATATGTGCTCATTAATGTATATTCTTCGTTCAAGTAATAAAGTATTCTCGTGAGTGTATAATATGCCATTGAAAATACATACGGGTAAAGGGTTCTAATGTCTAATGTCTAATACACCTTTTACCACTAGATGGGGGTAAAAATCACACAGTGTAGCTTTAAATCCAAAAGTGTGGGAAGCTAATTTTGTTTAGCTGGAACTGCCTGTTGCAGTCATTTCACCAGATTCAGGACAGAGTGTCATTTGTTCTGCATTAGCATGCTTTTGAGTTCAAACTGGGATGAAAGGAAAGCATATTGAACAAGGTCTAAATTCCTGTTGCTAACTCAAAGAGGTTACCTTATAGGCCTATATGAAGTGTATTGAAACAGATGTCTTGCCTTTTTTTGGTGAGTTGTGAAATGAATGTAGATGTACGGTTTTATTTTTTGTCTATTACTCTTTACTACAGACCAAATGATATAAAATACAATAATATTGTCATATTCAATGTTTTTACAAAGTTATTGTTTTTGCACAGTATTTTCATATGAATTGTTGCATATGTAATTTGATGTATACTGTATATTTATATATGCATCAAACTATATGAAAAAGTTCAAAATTCTACAGGTAACTGTATATGGGCATTAATATAAAACATTTAGAACTATGAACTTTACATACGATCAGTTTCTTAACCTTTTTTTGTCTATTGCATTTTACTATTAAGTGCATCAATATCTAAAATGTTTCATGTTTCTTTTGTTGTTAAATTATATTGTTAATACTTCTCATGTAATGGTTGTGAAGTACATCCATGAAATAAGATATAATGTGTGTTTGCCAAACTTGGTAAAAGAACTTTATTCTTGCCCACATAGAATGTTGTCCATTGTGTATTTCGACAAACAAAATGTATTTTATATTACTTATATTAAATTAAAGCATGTTTAATTTAATGTTCTTTCTTCAGATGATTATTTGACTCCAATATTTTAAATATGTTGTCTGTTGTGGTCCTTTTTGGTTCCTTTTTCCTGTTAATGAAAATAAAAAGCTTTTAAAAAGCATTTGATGATGTTGTGTTTAATGAGTGAAATATAAATATGATAGCCTATACTAAAAATATTTGAATTCTTTCTTTAAAGATTTGCATTAGGTGTCAAATAATTAAACAAAAAAATAATAATAAATACTGTGGTACCCTCAGGATCGAAAAGTGACAGTTGTTATTCTCAATCGTACCACTAGAGCGCAATGCCTATCCAAAAAGGCATGTTTGTCTCTAGTCTAGGTCTAAACAGATGTTGGCAATGCTCCACCATATTTGTATTCCTCTTTTGTACACATCATCACTGTCGTCATCAACAACAGATGTATCAGTATTGTAGGTATATTTGAAAAAGTATATATATATATGTTTACCCGGAGGAAACACACAGACACAGGGAGCACATGCAAACTCCACACAGAAGGACCTCCTGGCTCCGGGATCTTCTTGTTGTGAGGTGACAGTGATTTAGGGGTTACTACCCGTCCCATAAATGATGCGTCCCATATGAAATCAATAAGGGATATAATTTGTTCCATATTTTACATTAACATTAATTTGACCCACACAATTTGCTGGTGCAAATTGTACTGTCATGCGCGGTATTTTGAAACCATGTCTAGTTCACGTCCTCTCCAGATATGGAAAAAAGAAGCGTAGGTATTGCATTCACTTGAGGAAACAAAATCTACTCTGTTTTTCTGAATTAATTATCTCAGAATAGCTTGCGTTCATATGACGTCACGCTATTGCGTTGACATGGCGCGAAAAATGGAGGGCAGGAAGTGAATGCATGTGTTTTGAGTCTTTTATGGCTGCTTGAATCGATCAAACCACGAAGAGTTTTTATCGTGTACCAAAAGTTGTTGTTCATAAAGGGGGGAAATGCAAGAAATTGATCGAAAAACTCCGGAAAAACGGCTTGCAAACCTATGTGTCTGCGGTCGGGAGGAGCCGAATGGGGAAATGCTCGTGTGTGTAACGTTAGTGATCACTTCGTCAAAGGTGAGTTAATACAATTTAAGTGACTGTTTGTGTAACGTTTCCGAACTTTGTAAAGTCGAAGTATGTCTGTAAGACAGGTAACGTTAGGCCTAGTTGCTGATATCTGCCGCCTCGATTATGTCAGGAAAATATTTCAATTCAGTTTTTATAACTCTGTTCTTGATTCAGTTTAATATCTCTTCATAACGTAAGGATCACGTCCAACATATGTTTGATTTTTTGTTTTTATCTTTCTCTTGTAAGTTGTAATACTAGTGTGGAAAGTAGGACAGTATGGACTTTCCTCCATTGTCCATCTGAATTCCGCGCAACATCATAATCACGTGACTGAAACCCAGCTTATGAGAATTTTTCAGGGAAAAAAGTTTTGCTCTTTTTTTTCTGAATTAACGAGTTAATTATCTCAGAATTACAAGATAATTTTTCATGGAAAAAAGTTGTTGCTCTGTTTTTCTGAATTATTGAGTTAATGATCTCAGAATTACAAGATAATTTTTAATGGAAAAAAGTTTTCACTCTGCTTTTATGAATTAATGAGTTTTTTTTTGAGATAATCAAGTCAGAAAAACAGAGCAAAAACTTTTTTCCATGAAAAATGATCTTGTAATTATGAGATAATTAACTTGTTAATTCAGAAAAACAATAGTTTTTTTTTTCTTCAAGTGAACGTAGGTCTGTCACTAATGATGAATGTAAGACGTACACAGTTTAATTTGCTCACGCAGTGCAGACGGACACATTTGTTTTTGTTGTTAAATTTGGATAATCTCTTAATATTATATTCCCTACATTGTCAGAGCTCGGTAGACGGGTAACTATTCTATTTTTTAGACGTCATTAGACAGATAAATTTATAGATTATAATTAATGTTATTTTATTAATCTATCGTTTATAAATATTAATCATATGCATAATAAATTATGATCCTATCTGTCATTTATTGCATTTAAAAAAAAGTTTTTAAAAGTGCTAAATTATTTCAATAAAAACGGGACAAATAAATACATAATAATGTAGTCATAATTTAAATAGTACATCAATTAATAATGAAAACAATTATCCCATCCCCGTTGAATTGTCAAAAATATGAATAGTGGTTCAGAATGGCTGCTTAAGACACACCAACATATACTGAGGAGTTATGTAGAAATACATTTAAATAGCCTATAGCGGCGAGCAGGACCGCCATGCTTGTGTCTTTAGTTACACTACTGTAGATAAAACTAATACCAGATTTTTGACTAAAGGTGGTGCTACTGAGCCCCTCACCACGCATGTTTCTGAAACTTTGCACATGTCTACAAGCTAATAAATGTGATGTGTCTGTCAAGTTTCATGCAATTTCAATCATGCTAAGAGTCTCAAAAGGATCAAAAAAGAATAGTAAAGTTTGATGCATTGCCATGGCAACTTTTTTTATTTACAGTTTTTTGTTAAATGTATATATTTAACATTTAATACTTTTTGAACATTTAAATATTATTATTATATAATTATTAATTAATTATTATTATATTTAAATATATAGTTAACCATTTGAGTATTTGAATCTATACATTATTACATTATTTATATATATATATATATATATATATATATATATATATATATATATATATAAAATTATGATATTATACACTGTATATGAAATGTAATATATAGTAAAACGCAAAGTAGGCCATACAGAAATATACACAATAATTCCTTTCCAGAAAATATGCAGCTAAGCAGTACATCCCTTTGACATGCAAGCAAGAAGTCAAGCTCTCTCTGTCTAAACCTTTTGCATGTTGTAAAATGAGCTTTGTGTCAACCGCATGATGGTCACTATACACGTTCAGAGCAGACCTCCAGTACATGCTGCTTCTGGGTGTGGCTTAAAAGAGACAAACACAGATGACTTCCTGTGGGATTATGTGGCATTTATCAAATAGACTAAGAGTTATATAAAGCCATTTGTAAATGCAGAGGGAGCAGATTGGGATCTAACATTAATCCCGGCCTGCATTCAGCCTGGCTGCAATCCATCTGAAAGGAAGGGCAGGCAACAGGAATTACAAGCCTTGCACTGCCCTCCACCACTGTCCATACCCTTGCTTGCTCTCTCCAACTCATGGGCAACACAGGATAACTGACCCGGATCGATCGAGGGCCAGTGTTTTAGCCATATGTGATTGATGTATAGACCTGCTTTCATTGTAAATTCCAATTCAGTTAGGAATTATTAAAATTATTCAAGATTTGATTAGATTCAGTAGAATTTTCTTTTTTTCCCCACAGCTCTTACCATAATGATAAATGAATAAAAACATGCACAAGTAAAACATAATAATAAGAATTTTCTTTTATTCACCAATAGAGAATACACAAGTTGTATGTCTGTTATTTTAGTGAAAATAGGATTAATCACCACTTATGTTTTTTTAAATAAACACAAAAAATATTATATATAAAATGTTTCCTTTTTTTCCAGAAAATAACAATTATTTTTATAGTCATAGACTTTTCAATTAGGTTTCATTTGTTAATATTACTTAACTACATTAGTTTACAAGAGCAAATCTTTTACAGCATTTATTAATCTTGGTTAATGTTAAGCCAATATTTACTAATATATTTTTAAGTGTATCTAACATAAGTTAATGCACTGTCAACTAACATGAACATTTTATTAACTTACATTAACAAACGTAAATAAATGCTTGCAAAAAATATGTTGCTCATTGTTTGTTCATGACAGCGTTGTTATTTTTATTATGCTTTTATTATTATTATACTTCATGAATTTTAGATGATGTAGATCAACTGCTCAGCAGCATAGGATTCCAGGGGAATGCATACAGTATATGGCCAAATGTGTATACTGAATGCAAAATAAGTTGCTTTCAAAAGAAATGTCTAGATGATATTATTAACAATTACATTCAGCCAAGTGGATTCATCAGTGCTGAATGAATTTATTGTTTTTACCGTGAAACAATTATTGTAAAAGTATCCTTTATAATATACCTATACGTTTACAAACACACACACACACACACATTCAAACTTCAGTACAGACACATTCAAAATGTATAAGTTTTATACGTAGCGTTGTACAGTACATGGGCAACATTTATGCTTTTGACAAAGCTGCATAATCATGTCATTTTATGGCAGACAACATTGTGACTGTACAAGATTAGCTCTGTTTAGGCATACACATGTGTCTTCTACTGGCCTCTATCCAGTGTCCAGAGGATAAAATAACTCAATTTCCATGATGAAATGGTCCACAATAAACTAATGAATGCAGATGGATCTGAAAGAGAGAAGAAAAGCCGTTAGAGACGATGTTTTATTGACCTCGCCTTCAGTGGCAGAATGCTGTTTAATGTGTTGTCAGTTTAAAGTCAGAGGGTCACGTTACGCAATTCTAATGATGAACGCTGTCTCTTTAAGCGGGCGCTACAGCATATGCAGATCATGAAAAAAACGAATTGCAAAAAAAAATGTTCATAATAGAAATTCTTGCCCTGTTGACCACAGCAAATTTGTTATTTCACATATAGTTTGTGATTTTCAGTGTATTTTATAGTAACTAGTTCTAGACAAAGATATCAGTTAGAAATGAGGAAACCAACAGCTTATGAGCAGGACAATTCATATTATGTTTCTGTGATGTCAACAGCTATGCACATGAACAGCCCAGATTGACATTACCAATAACAGAGGTGCAAAAAATACAACTGTAAAACCTATCATTTTAAAGCTACATGGTGTGATTTTTACCCCCATCTAGAGGTGAAAAGGTATATGACCATCCAGTGAATATTAGTTTCTGTTCCTCTCAATTCCGATTTCGTTTTAACTCCTACGGTGGCCAATGTAGTCCAAGATTATCATGGCTTCCAGTTCGACCTCGTCCATGAGTGTTAACTCAAACGTAAATGCGAAAGGCGAAGCTTGAATTAACGGGTTTGTCCCTCTTTGGCTAATGTACTTTCAAGATGGAGGAGCAACATGCTGGCCGACATTAGAACCCCTTACCCGTATGTATTTTCAATGGCATATTATTCACTCCCGAGAATACTTTATTACTTGAACGAAGTAAATATACGTTAATGAGCACATATTTTCGAAAGAACTAAGTGTTTTTAGCTAAGAATAAACTAAAAGAGTTACGCAGTGTAAAACTATTATCAGAGAAATAAAAACTAGCACTGGTCCTTATTCAAATTTAGCAAACTTTTTTGATTACTAGTAAGATTAGATCATTGATGATATGCTAATTACCATATTTTATATCAACTCTAGATGTGTCTACATCAAAAGCAATGACAATGTTGCAGACATGATACACTTGTAGGTTTGCAGTAGTTTATTAGTCTGTCAAAATCATGTTCTCAAGCTATTGGCAAAAATGATGGCTGCTGCATTTATCTATCTATCTATCTATCTATCTATCTATCTATCTATCTATCTATCTATCTATCTATCTATCTATCTATCTATCTATCTATCTATCTATCTATCTATCTATCTATCTATCTATCTATCTGTCTATCTATACATACATACACTAAGGAGCAAATAAGGAGCAGATAATGTGTATCGAATGGTTTAGTGGGTGTAGATAGTCTTGCTTTTAGTAATAAATTAAAATCACAACATAAGCTGAAGTTGTAATGTAAAATGACCATAACAACCCCTCTTCGCATTTCACCATTAAATTATATTTTACACAATAACATATTTACATAACCATCTTATCTGGATAAAGTAAAGACCATAGTGCGTAAAACACTGCCGTCACTACGACCATTTTGATGGTAAATTTACTTGGATGATGATGCAATACTAGGTTAATCCCTGTGCAACCAGATGCCTTCTTCCTGTTAATGGTTATAAATTCTAATGAATTCATCTTGTCATCCACGTTGACAATCTACTTGGAAAAGAAATATGTCTTGAGTATTGTTTACATACTGAATAATGTATAGACTGAATAATACCAGAATGTAAAACATGATTTTACAGTAAAATCTTGATTTTAGCATCCTTATTAAAGAAACAAACAAAAGAACATGTCAACAAATCATTTGCAGAAATAGTATAAATGACATCACCTTGGAGAAAAAAAAAATTCAATGTGCATTAAATGGGTCATGTATGCAGGTCAGTGAGAAGGAATTGTTTCTTACCTGTTTCAAATGAGGTTTAAATTTTAGCATTCATTAACTTCTAGAGGTTTGGATACGCGAGAAATTTACTCTACACCAGCGTGCTCCTCTTCTCGCGCATGATGTCAGGGGTCAGATGTGCGATGTTAGAGGAAGCCGTGTTGTTTTGCTCATTGTAACGCGATGAAGCCGGGGAGTTTTGCATCACCACGAGCCGGATGGGAGACTGTTGCTGTGGGGCGGGGGGCTCAGAGACGTACTCCTTGGTAGGGTCTTTCCCCCGGCAGTCGTACAGGATGCAAGAGATGAGGAAGACCAGAAGCAAGATCACGTAGCTGGCGATGAGGATGATGAGGTTTAGAGTGACTGGATCAATCTCCAGGTAAAACTCCATGAGACCCATGGCGACGCTGCATCCCTGACTCCGCACTCCGAGAGAAACGTGGGCACCATGGACTCGGGCTCTTCAGGCTCAGCGTGCAGTAACAGGGATACCCCCGACGAGCACCAGCAGGGCCCTGTGCAGAGATCAGAGTGGAGATGTCGCTCTGCCGCTCAAAGACTTTAATCCCTCCCCTTCTATTCCACCAACCTTAAATTCCTGCAGCCAATGATTAAAAGCTGCTCACTTTAATAGCTTAAGCTGCCATTTTAATTTTGCCAACTGCACATTGCAAGATGGATTTGGCCAAATTATGTAGAAGCTGCAGGGAAAGGGTGGAGTAGAATTTTTAGCATGTCTCACCTCGTGTCCTTTCGCCAGAAGCACGTCAATGCGGGATTTCAGTATTGTGTAATGAGCGACTTTTAGTTACGTCGTTATAATGGGTCGTGACATAACGCTCAAGCCAAAAAGGAGATTAGGTATTTTCGCAAAATGGAATATGCATAGTCGAAGAAATAGCTATGTTTTATGTCATCATAAATGGACTGTGATGGAAAACATATGCCAAAAAGCAGATTTCATACGGCTTTTGTGACTGTGAGTTATGTAATCAGATTACTTTTTCAAGTTACTGGTAAAAGTAATGCACTACTTTTGAATTTACAAAAAATATCTAAGTAACTTGTTGTGAGGAATCAGAAGTACAGACATATTGTTTGTGCGGTGGGCTGAGTAAACATGATGGTTGTTGTAGTGAGCATTTGGTCATCTCACTTGCACAAAAACTGATTCAGTATTCCTCAAATGACTGAATAAAAACAATCAAATGCAAATTCAACTTAATCTTACTTTATTAACCAATGTCTTTGCTGCCGACCATCGATTATTCAATTCTAATAAGCCAAAATGACATTGATTAAACATCACATTTGTGTTTAAAGGTATAGCGGAGGATCTTTCCGAATTTTAGAGAAGACCCGCCCTCTCCGTTTTTAAAAAAAAATGCACATGCACAAACACAACACTCTTGCTCCCGAGAGGGAACGCCTATTACGCCTTACACAATTATTATGTTGCAAATTAACTCAAAAACATTCATAAAAAAGACAAAAGTAAAATGCCCTTCCGTGTTTTATTTACTTATTATACTGATCGATTGAGTGACCGAGGACTCAAGACATGATATGTACAACCCTTTATCACACGAAATACGTTCTGAGGAAACTATTTTGCAAATCGCAATTACGTTACATGGCAACATATAAGCAGTGCTATTACGTTGGTCCTTAACCTAATATGTCTCTTTGTTAATACGTAGGTATTAATACGTAATTTTTATACATAGTTGCATATGTAATGGAGAAGTAGCTTGTTGCATTTGTGTAATAATAAACACACAAGGTTTTAGAATATTTCAGCGTGATACCATTTGGTCAAAAGGCTACTTTAGACAAATTGAGATGTTTACCGTGTCTATGCGGTGCATGACTTGTGCCAGGGCAATATTGCTAAGTAGCTTGCATTTAACTTTTACTAGTGATTTTAAATGGATTTCTCCAAATAGCATGACAAACTTTACCTGTCTAGTAGAATCTTCGTGACTGCGGCATCAGTGAGAAGCCCAACCTGTGCTTTTAGCACACGTACGACGGCCTTACGTAAACATATCACCAGAATGACTGACACTTAGGTGGACCAATAGGATAGACTACCCACCCGGAAAAAGAAAATCCTCCGCTATACCTTTAATTTTTTTTTTCATTTATTTAAAGGGGTCTTATTGTGCTCCTTTACAAAGTCTAAATATTGTTTTGATTTTTCGTTTTCGATGAAGCGAATACGAAATGTGCTGTGATTGGTTAGTTGGCCCAGTGTGTCGGCGCATAGACATATCAGGACATACCCTTCATAACTTCAAATCATTTGAGCCTGATTTAGACCCTGACAATGTTAACGAACAAGAGGATTGTGCTGTCCAGATTTCAAGTATACAGACTTTGCGAGCACAGATTTTACAGGACGTTGAGTGGTATGTCGGCCCATATAAAGTTTTTTTTTACAAAGTTTTAAATTACAACTTTTATATGTGGTGGTAGGCTACACGCAAAGGTTATCCAAGGGTACGGTATTGTTTGACATTCACGTTAATGGACGAGAAAGTAGAGTGCTTTTCTTCTTTTAATCTGGGTTTGCATCTCTATCTGTCCATAAGCATCTATTACAGCTTAAAGCAGTGAACACTAGCACATACCACCTGCCCACAGTTTTATAGTTGGACTGGATTATACTGTAAACGTACCAGATGGGGAAAAAAAAGAAAGAATATCTGAGGTCTTACAAAAGGTCACCAGTGGGGCCATGCAAACCATACATGACACAGGGCATAATATGTCTGGAATCTCATGAATGTGCTGCTTTGGTTTTTATGCATGTGATTTAAAGTCACCAATATTTCCATTCAAAGTAGGTCTTTTAAGTCAAGTCAAGTCAACTCAAATATATTTATATAGCGCTTTTCACAATACAGATTGTATCAAAGCTGCTTCACAGTATCAATCAAGACAACATCACGGTGTTTGTTTATTCATGAAAAAAGACAATCAAGATTGGTAGAGCTGATCAATGGTATGATGGGTCATTTAATTTGAAAATCCCCAACTGAGCAAGCCAAAGGCAACAGTGGCAAGGAACCAAAAAACTCCATCAAGTGACCCGATGGTGTCCTAAAACTCCATTAGATGACCTAATGGAGAAAAAAAAAAAACCTTGGGAGAACCCAGGCTCAGTCGGGGGCCAGTTCTCCTCTGGCGTTTTTTAAAACCCAAAAGAATGTCATTAACGCAAATGTGGGTGTTTATTGAATATGTGCTCTGGGTTAATCTGATTCTGTTAAAACTGGAAACTCTGCATTTAACTCTGTAATGGAAATGATCCAACATTTAACAGACTTGTGCAGTGTGCCTGCTGCAATTTTTTTACTTAAAAATAAATGTAATCAGAAATTTGATTTGATTTTACTAAATTGAATTTTAATGACAAATGGATTCAAATGAACACGTTTTCAGTCAATCCGAAGCATATTTTAATGAAAGCTATTCCTCCGACTCTACCAGGTCAGTCTGACTCTCCCACGATCTGTCCATTTTTCTTTTCTTTCTGCATCTCATGCACACTGCACTGAAGCCCAGAAGCAGCACTCCACTGATAAGGAGCAGAAGTCCCAGAACGGAGATGGTCGATCCGTGGGTGCTGAAACTGTAGGCTACCGCTGTGACTGCAACGCCAATGATCAAGAGAACCACACCGAAAGGAAGAGTACAGCGAGAGCAGGACCCCTCCGCTCCTCCAGTGGCTGTCGTCAGCTCTACTCCATTAACCATGGCTGAACCCTTCAGCGCAGGATGATCAGAGCTCATGGTCCACTGAAAGCTGGTAGGATGCTTCACTTTGTCTGGTTCTTTTCTGGTTCCTCTTGCTCTTTACTGATGATTCGGTTTGTAGCAGCATTTCTGAGGTCAAAAATTACCATTATAAAACAGAATTTTTAACTTTTGTAAATCTTTAGATTAAGTGATATCATATTCATTCATTTGTCCATCCATGTACATATCTTTATTCATTATTGAACATTTCTATCTATTCACTATAGGCATTTTTTCTAATGTTGCACTACATTTAGCAAGGAATTCAATAATATTTTGGATTTGCACTGGACAAAAGTATCTGTTAAATAAATAAATAAATGTAGATTCAGAGTATCTTTATTTCTATATCTGTATAATTATTTTTATTGTATTGTATGATAATGTACTCTATTGCAATTTCATGATTTATGTGTATTGCTTTAATGCCTCGATTTTCCCCGGGAGTCATATCCTAAAAATAAAGGTAATCATGAAAAATTATACTATATAGTCACTTTGTTTTGTATTATGGTCTTTTTAAATTTCTATTTTGTTTTGGAAAAAAGAACTTTATACAGAACTGTCCAAACGTTTTTGGTCAGTAATTATAATAATAATACTAATAATAATACTTTTATTCAGCAATGATACATTCTATTATGTCAGTAAAGACATTAAAATGTTTCCAAAAAAATATATTTCAAAAAAATACTTTTCTTTTGAACTTTTTCTATTCATCAATAAATCCAGAAAAAAACATTTAGTTATTCACAAAAATAGGCCTATTAAGCAGCAAAACATTTTTCAATATACATACTGTTACTGATTTCTGAAGGATCATGTGACACTGAAGCTGCACATGATGCTGAAAATGAATCTTTGCCATCGCAAGAAAAAATTACTTTTTAAAATATATTAAAATATAAACAGTTATTTTAAATTGAAATTATATTTCACAATATTACTGTTTTACTGTATTTTTTATCAATGAAGTTTTGGTGGGCATAAGAGACTTCCTTAAAAAAATTCTAAGACAAACCTTTGAATGATAGTGCACACATAAAGGCCTATTTAAGTAGCTATTTATAAAACAGTATAGTAAAATTATTAACCACAGTCATGTAGAAAGTTTAATGCATAAAGAAAAAAGCTTCACAAACTGAGATGCTGAATTAGAAACTTACCATGACATGAAGCATATATGCCCTGGAAACCAGACTGAAATGAAGTATTTCTTCAATATGTTTCTCTTCCTTTAAATACAACCATGATATTTAACCCTCTTCATACTGACTGCTCGTATCCTTTGGAATCGTCCCTGTGGTGGGTCAGTTTCTGGGCCACCAGGGTGCCACAGTATCCAAGGAACAAAAACAAATCCCTGCACCACAGCTGCAAGGCCACACACTACCCTAGATTCCCTGGCCATGCCGTCAATTACAGACAGATGTTCAATGTTCTCTGCCTCTTTCATCTTTTTCCCTCTCCCAGAACTGAGTGCTGTGCTTGGACTCTTGCTCATCTGCATTATGATCTGTGTAGAACATGATGGAGTTTAGCAAGGAGTTTCTCAGAAAATAATTTATCATGTCTTCTGAAAAGTCTTCAACTGGTTTCATAAGGCGGGTTTCCGTCTCTGGAGAAATGCATGGGTTAAAGCTCCCTCATGTGGTCTTTTTAGTGACTAACAGGAGAACAAAAATATTCACAGAGGGATTAATTCATGGCGGAAATATTGAAATAGGTGACAAACTCAAGTGTCTTGGTAAAAGCGTCAGCTCACCATCTTTATCTAAAAAAAGTCACTGACCTTGAGAGTAATGTTCCTGTGAACTGTCTCACTCCTTCATATGCTTTTTTGCACACTTTTAAAGGGATAGTTCACTTTGAAATTAATTTTTGATATGTTTTAGCTTACCTCAAGGACATCCAAGATGTAGGTGTCTTTGTTTCCACAGTAGTTTCAATTTTTATATTTTTAGGTCAAATCGTTCTTGCCTGTCAGTCATATAATGTAAGTCTATGGTCACCACCTCAAAGAGCATGCACAGAGAAGTCCAAATTAAACATAATTGAATGACTCGTAAACGTAAGTACACTTTGATGGCCTAAGACACGAAACGAGCGGTTTGTGTGAGAAAACGAACAGTATTTATATCGTTTTTACCTCTTGTCACCCTCAGATCACTTAGATGTGACTGTGGTTACAAAATAACAAACAAAATGTGATTACAAAGTAATGCTTCTCAAAAAATAAAGTGAAGATGACGATTGAACAAAAAGGAGGAACAAAAAATTAACAAATACAGAATGAGTGTACTTGCAAGAAATGCTTGTTAGTTGCCAACAACATCTCCTGGTTGTGTGAAACAGAAAAATCAATAGATCAGAAACAACGCAACTTTGTTGTCTATTTCAGGCCTCCCACTTAGGTCTCTTGTCTGATCATAACCCTTTTTCCAGTGATATTATGACCTTGTTTTGTTGTTGTAATGTCTCTCAGCCATCTCTCTTTCTACAGTCTTTCGTCAAATCTCCCACTTGTTCACTCTCTCTCCTCCCCCTTCATGAGTGGACACGCCCCCTACTGCTGATTGGCTACTAGGGAGTGGTGCTGCTCAATCCACTTTCAACAGCGTTTCTCAGAAATCTTTTATTTAAATTATTAAATATTCATATTTAAATATGTATTTGATTATTTCCAATTATCATAGTTTACACAACATATAAAAATAATTTTTACAGTGATTCAGTAAATAATAATATTTCTATAATGTTTAATAATAATAATATAATTTACTATAAAATTAGCCTATAGTTTTAATATAATAATTTTGACTTAAATTTACTTCAATTAAACCATTCAATTTAAGTTACCACAAGCACGTTTTAGTTTAACTTTTTATTTATTTATTTTTTTTACTGTGGATTTATTTACAGTGTTACATGTATATATGCAACAAAAAAGGCAAGGTTTAAATAATTGAGGAGGCTATAGTCATCGTGATGTTTTTTGGTTACACCAACATGAAGATGAAGAACTGTTTATGTGAGATAATTGTTTATATTATTAAATATTCATATTTAAATGTGTATTTGATTATTTCCAATAATCATGGTTTACACAGCATATAAAAATAATTTTTACAGTGATTCAGTGAATAATAATAATTCTATAATGTTTAATAATACTAATTAATAATATAATTTACTATACAATTAGCCTATAGTTTTAATATAATACTTTTGACTTAAATTTACTTTAATTAAACTATTCAATTTAAGTTACCACAAGCACGTTTTAGTTTAACTTTTTATTTATTTTTTTTATTTTTACTGTGGATTTATTTACAGTGTTACATGTATATTCTTCATAAATATGCAACAAAAAAGGCAAGGTTTAAATAACTGAGGAGGCTATAGTCATCGTGATGTTTTTTGGTTACACCAACATGAAGATGAAGAACTGTTTATGTGAGATAATTGCTGTCCCTCATTTTCCTGGATAACTACATAAATATTTCCTGTCTTATCTTACTCAAACAAGTACAAGGAATCTGAACAGGACGGGTTTCAAAGAAAATCGACATTTTTACGTCCATACATAACACTCGTTAGCAAAACATAGGCTATCAAAACATTATTCCGTGAAACAGTTTATAGCTATTGAACAGAGATGAAAGAGTATCTTCGAAGCAGATGACAGGGTTACTTCCTGATGGCGAACGGAGATCATATTTGGTGAGTTTTGCAAAAAATCTTTAGCATTTCTTTCTACATGCAGTCGCAGAAGTTCGACTTTTCAGTACGCCTGAGTGGAAGACACGTAACGGGAAGTTTTGAGTCTAGTTTCAGGTTTTTACGGGAAGAGGATGCAGATGTTCTGAGGATCCGCCGCGGTTCCTTGAGTCCAGAACCGGAGAACAAAGAGGTACATTCCATCCTTTTCCAAACGAGCATTCGTATTCAATGAAGCTGTCTGCCCTGGACCTGAAAATGTGTAAACTTTACGATGTACATCGCAACTGAAGTGTTTGCAGTGTAGGTGGAGTGTTGGGAAGAGGAGTAATTAAAGATGGATGCATGTGGGAAATGGACTGTGTTGTGATGGTAAAAAAATGTGAGAAGATCTTAAAGCTATTTCGGAGCCACACCTATGCTAAAGCTATTGTTTAAAATAATTTCTATAGTGATTAATGGAGTAGATGTTTATCATGATTGTTTATTTTTGAAAGTCGACTTCATGTTTACTCATTAAAGTCACAATCCATTGAACATTTCCACCGTTACCATGGATAAAAAGTTTCGTATCATAACGTTATATTTTCCTGTGACAACATCATAGGACAACATTGCCCAATTAGCATGGAATGCTATCACACTTGCCACAATGGAACCTGCCATTAAATAACTCATAAACCTTTCCTTTTTATGTAAACATTAAAACATTTACAGGAAAGCTGTAAAGGGTAACATTAAAATATCTTTTATCATTTGGGTTTGGTAGAAAATGTAAACCATATCATAGTCTGATGCTGCTTTTGTTGTGTAAATGAAATGCAGCATCAGCACAACATTAAACTTTGTTCACATCATAGATTAATATTCTTTTGTTTTTGTTTTTCATTATGTAAATTTTAATTAATATTTATATCTTCGTGATTTCATATTTAAAATATTAATTTCATTTTAAGATATAGGGCAGAATTCACATTTAGTCTTGAACCATAGTTACTGGGCTATAACCTGTTTGACAGCTCCACCATGTGACACTAAGGCTACTAAAACATAGCAGATACTGTATATGCTGAATGGGCATTAGTAATGTGTGCAGTCTTGATTATTTATCCAGCCACTGTTTGGCACCACCAGCAGGGACCTGTGCTGAGAAGTGACCTCAGGTGTAAAACATTAGCCATGTTGATTTTGGCTTCTGTGCAGTTTGGGTTCATTAGTGGTTGCAGAAGAAAACCTGCCATGATAAGCATATAGTAAACTAACAGGTTGTACTATTTTCTTTATGTGCTCAGAAATGGCTCAAGATGTCTTATGAGACCGAGAAAAGTTGCCTGCTGGCTCCAAAGGAATCACCATATGGTTGCCTCACAGCTAATGAGAAATATGAAATCCCTGGAATGGGAGAGGACAGGTACTGTATAAGGAGCTATAATAAATTATGTACTGTATATACTGTATAGCAGGGGTCACCAAACTTTTTTCTCTGGGGGCCACATTATCGTTCCTGACTGTGATGGGGGGCCGGGCTATATAAAATAGAATTGTGTGACCAAGACCAAACTGACCACCAGCAGGCCGCATAGTAGAGATTACTAGCCTGGCGCAGCCATATTTGTTTATCATTAATAGTTGTTAGCAAAAGTAGTAATCGAGTCTTCACACTTTGTTTTAATTTGAAATACCACAGATTTTCCATTTATTTATTTTCGAATACAAATAAAATCAAACCTGTCAAGGTAAGAAACATCTGCCTAGTTGAGGTGAGTGGCACTGGTAAGGATGAATGAAAAATTATAAATTATAGGTAGGCCTGTTACTATTTATAATAATTGTGTACAGCACTTAATAAAGGTCAAATAAATAGGCCTATAAAATAAATAAATAAACATTGAAATTATAACAACAACATGAGTAATAGAACTAGTCAGCTCTTATGCCTATCCAGGTGAGCATGCTCAATAAACAACAAAATACCAAATGCAGACATGTTATTATTTTCCAAAAAGCAATTTAAAAAAATAGGCCATGACGACTTTTGGGGATTGCCGGTTCAAGTAGTGGGGGGCAGAGGGGTTGGGGGGCCAGTCAAAGGGGTGTGGCGGGCCTGATTCGGCCCGCGGGCCTTAGTTTGGTGACCCATGCTGTATAGTTACAGCGATGTGAGAAAGTTTGGATACCCATGCCTATAAAGTTGCCTAAAAAGAGGATTAAAAAGTAATCTTTTGGAAATTAATCTCAATGCCTTAATTAATAAAATGAGGAAAAATCCAACCATTAAGGACACCAATTTTCTTTGTGAATTAATAATGTATCATAAATAAATAAATGTTCTTCCTTAAAATACAGGGTGCATAAGTCAGGACACCCCTTTATTAAATTCCCAATGGAGTCAGGCAGATTTTTATTTTTAAAGGCCAGTTATTTCATGGATTCAGGATACTATGCATCCTGATAAAGTTCCCTTTCCCTTTGGACTTAAAATAGCCCCACATCATCACACACCCTTCACGTACTTAGAGATTGACGTGGGGTACTTTCCATAAATGCAAATCAAACCAGCTATTAGGCTAACTGAAATAAAACCATGCCAATCTCTAGGTATGGTGAGGGGTGTGTGATGATGTGGGTATATTTTAATTCCAAAGGCTAAGGGAACTTTATCAGGATGCATATTATCCTTGATCCATGAAATAACTGGCCTTTAAAAATAAAAATCTTAAGGAAGAACATTTATTTATTTATGATACATTATTCATAATAAACTTTGTCAGAACTTTATTCCTCTTTTTAGGTAACTTTAGCAAGGGTGTCGAGACTTATTCACAGCACTGAATATATGTAATGAAAAAAATATATATAATAAAGAACTAAAACTATTTTGTTATTAGTACTGTTTTATAGGTTTAATTAAGCAAAACTGAATGATTAATGTATTCCTGTATTTCAGTGTTTTAGAGATGCTGAGCTACTCAAAATTCTCTGATCTGGAGACATGGCTGTGTATGCCCTCCACATTGTTACCCAGGAGCCGGGATTCAGTTTGCTCCATGCTGACACCCTCCCATGAGAACGACAATGGAGAAACATACAAAGAACCCAGGTAAAGTGTTTGTGGGAGAATTTTAAGACACGCTAGTTCCTGTTTCTTTGTTACAGACCAGTTTGATGGCATTTTAGAGTAGGCGTTTCAGTTAAAGACAATTTTCATATCCAACCAGAAATCTTATGTCTGTGTACTTGCTTAGACTGTTAGCTTGGTTAGCAGTGTCTTGCTTAATTATCTTATGGACATGCAAATTCATAATCACCTATTTAATTATTACACAGCTCTTTGGAATACTCAATTCTGTATGATTGAGTACTGACAGCCAGTTACCTACACATTTTGCACATTCCAAGCCTCTCGTATCATTCTATGGTATCTTTCTTACATATAATTGCCTAACTCGGGTTTATTTGAAATATGTCTAAGGCAGCTTTGAGGCTAACGATATTCAAATAATTCCAAATAATTATTTTTTTGCTAAGCAGCTTACAATAACTGAGATAATGTACAGTCAGCTGGAAATTATCAAGGGAAAAAAAAGCCTTGCCGAACATTAAGATCATAAATATATTTACAATTTGTATGACCAAATGAATGTAAAATCAATATCTACATAAACATACTATTTAATATATATATATATATATATATATATATATATATGAAGAGTTCAGATGCAAAAGCCTCTAAGTGCCATTTGAAATTTTCTTCTAGAATGACCATTTTTATCAAGCTTGTATATTTAAGTTCAGTGATTTCACTTAAATGGCAATGATAATTACCTATTAATTGTTATTTAAGTGAAATTACTGAACTTAAATATACAAGTTTGACAAAAATCATCATTAAAGAAGAACATTTCAAATGGCATTTAGAGGCTTTTGCATCTGAACTCTTCATATATAGAAATATTTTGTTTTCAAGAAACAAAATTTTCTCCTCAATTTCTCAATTTTTTTGTTCTTATGTTTGAATGAGTGCAGTTGGTAGACTGCAATTCATGTATTGACCACATGATGTCATTGTTTATTCATTGTTTACACAAGTCAGTGTTTGGACCTTCTTGTTAGCAGAACAGTCTGACACAGCCAGACATCTGCAAATCATTTATTTAAAAAAAGATACGAGAGTATGTACTAATTTGTACAGATTGTGATTGGCATTTAAATGACTCTTAGTTCTCAATAAACATTTCACTCCATATTTAACAACATCTGATTACATTCGAGAGTCCTATTAAACATGCTTGTTTTCTTTATACACACTTTTGAATGCATATCGAAACTAAGAGCTGTGCAGAGAAGAGAGAATTACACTGACAGCACCAGCCAACCTACTACATGGTGAATCACTGTGGCTCTTGTGGTTTCAATAGCCAATCAAAACCAATCAAGTCTTCTCAGCTACCTTTTAATGCAGCACTAGTCTTAACAAAACCTGAATCATCAGAACACACAAAACCATACCCTACAAACTAGGCACAAAAATGCAATGCATACAATGACTAAGACCAGTTAATATTGCTTTTATCCTGCCAGGGGTTGAAAAAGAAACACACTGCCATCCTTTATGTAATCAGACTACATTCTTAAGCCCAAGCAGAGCCATTTATTGAAAACAAAAAGCCGGGTTCCATACCGCGATGGTGTTATTACATCTCTCAGTGGAAACAAAGCATTCACTGGAAACCTCTCTTAACTTGCTGCAGTTAATCAAGCCTCACAAAAGCAACATAGCCAACTCTTCCATCAGATATGCGCTACACTTGACTCTTGACAGACTGATATGGGTTTTGTGTGTGCGGCTGGCGCACTTTAGATGAAGGTGCAATTTAATATTTATGCCGGGCGGGTGCTGAAGGCTCAGTGGGCTGCTTCTTTTAGTTTTTTTGTTTTGTTTTTTTACCAGGGGCCTTCTTTTTACCCTAGAGCGATTGCGTTGTTGATTTGACTGTAAAAAGGCTTTAGCAACGGGAAGTCCTAGGCAAAAACGGTGGTGTTAGATCTTGCAGGTGCATTCAAAGTAATATGCTGCTCATGGCTTATATGGAATCAAATGGAAAATCTTTAATAACTTGTTTTACGCTAAGAGAAGTCGTCCAGTAGGGCATCATGCTTGCAATGGAACGGATTGTTGAGTTTTTCTTAAGAAGAAAAAAATCAGGATCTCACACGAGAGGATCAAGAAAAAGCCAAAGCTATACCCTTCCAGATTCCAGGTACTGTATATTCCTAAATAGAAAAAAATGGTGCTTTTTGTTTATTTTTATAACTATTTATTATTTTATTGAGGCTTCTACTAAATGTATTATTGCATTGAAACTGTGTATATTATATCTTCCAAATTTAGTTGAATTTTTGAATCCGTCTTGAATAGAATGTTCTCAAACTGTGCACATAATATTGCCTATACCGTTTGTTGCCTATAATATAATCCTTTAAAATATTCACACATGTTTAATTCCCTGCTTTTCACTGACATCCAGCTAAAGCTGTAATTTTCTCAATGTTGATTGGAATGGAAAAACCTGCGTTTTGCACTGCCGGTGTGACATGCTGTGCGGTACGGGGGAGCTCAATTGTGATCATGAAAACATCCCGCTATGACAGCTAATTATAGTGGATTGACAGCAGAAATGAAATCTTTTTTGTTCCACAGGCCCCCGGAGAATGAGTCTAGTCATCTGAGCCAGAGCCAGGAGAGGAAAACCCATCTATTGCCACCCTCTCCTCTCCTGCCAGTTTCAGCCTCCCCTGACTCCTCATCGCCCCTGCAGATCACCTCAACTCCTCTGCCCAAGCCCACCAGAGACCCCTGTCATGGCGGCGTGAGCGTGAGGAAACGGCGGCGCCTGGCAGCCAGCCCCGGAGGACTGCACTGGGACGCATCAGGTATGCCAATCACAAACTGCATCCATTCATCACTGTATGAAAACTCATTTGTCTCTCTATTGTGCCAGTGCTGTGGTTCGAAACTTCTTTGAGCGAGTCAAAAAATATATTTGTGTGTTCGAACTTCTATATTTGAGTTTGAGGATCCAGATTTGGAGGACTTGTGGGTCTTTAATGGATCGATTTCTTGTGTCGTTCGCTACGTTTCGCTAAGCATTGCTTGCTGTGCTGTTTGTTTTTATTTGCTTGATTTCCTGTTACATCCAATTTCATTAAGCAATTTGCACAGTTTGACACACATATTTGTGAAATTTGAGGGGAAAGGTTCTGTGCAAAATTAATGACTTGAGTAATCTAGCTAATTGCTTCTGCCGGGAATGATACTCTCTCTGTGTTTTGTTGCAATTACCAGTAGTAAATGATGATGCTGTGAAAAGTAGGTAAAAAAAAATGCAAATTCATTCCCAACTAACAAAAAAATATTCTAAGAACGTTTTGCTAACGTTCACATAGAGATATTAAAACGTTATTTCTGAATTTTCACTGAACATTACAGTTTTTCTATGTTATACGTTAAGGGAACATTCCATTTTTTTGAATTTTGAATTTCCTCAAATTTCCATGAAAACGTTTTGTTATCTAACATTTTATTAACGTTACTGGAAGAACATTTCTTGGCTACACTTTATTTTAAGGTGACGTATTTACAGTGTACTTACTATGGAGTTACGGTTATGGTTTGGTCTAGGGTTAGTTGCATTAAATATGCATCATTTACTGTTATTACTATAGTAAGTATGTAGTATGTATAACTATGTCACCATAAAATAAAGTGTTTCCCCTTTTTTCGTAACTTTGAGAAAACCTTGCCAGAGGGTTTTACTAAAACATTTCAGAAAAAAACTTTTCTTGTGCTAAAATTTTGAGAACATTATTAAAGACCAATTAAATTTGTATTAACGTTACTGGAAGAACGTTTGTTCATTACTTTGAGAGAACCTAAGAATGTTTCCTGTTAGCTGGGTTACTACAAATCTTTAGACATGTCATGCTATTTTATATAATAAAAAAGCATAAATGTTACAATACTTGCTACAAAACACATCCAAATTGATATAAAAAGATGTGACACAGCAATTAAATCAAACTGTTGCACGTTTCTAAATAATGAGGTTATCCTACAGAGCACTGTATGTGTTTTAATATTAGTGTTTAATACAACCTCATCTTTGAGTTCATGCTGTTATGCTGCCGATCGTCAGAGGTGACTCTGTCATTAGCGTTCTTGTTGTATGTGGAAATGACTCCTAATTGCAGGTTTATTTGTGGCACTGCCCTGCAGGCGATGTAGTGGTGAACCCTTACGGATGGCATAATGAGCAATTTATTTTAATTTGTCAGGGAAACCAACATTTTCTGGTGCCTAGAGATGAAGTCGCGCTCAACCTCACCTACCCTTCAAAAGAATATTATCATCACTATCTTTAGGGGTGGCACATAATGGCAGGAAACAACTTTTTTGATGCCGTAAACAGCTCTGCCTATCTCTGGAAGAGCGTATGACTGGTATGTAAACAGTGGAGGGTGCTACGGTACTGGGCACTTGGAAGATTGTTAATGAGTTTGTTTGCCATGTTAATTCTGTCATCATTTACTCACACTCATGTTGTTCCAACAATACACGTAACATATTTGCAATAAATGTAATAAAATGGAAAATAAATGTATTTTATAGTGACCATATAGTGGATTTAAAATACTGTATATAAGGTGGATAAATATTTTAAATTACAGTTTTTCAGAGGTGGTAAATGGAAACATGTCAAATGGCTCATGTTGTGCATAGTGTGAATATAGTATGGCAACAACATATGTATACAGTTTACAACATTTATCATTGCATTTTGTGTACACTACTATAAGTTTAGGTGTCAGTTGAGGTCCGTTCAAATCAAGAACGATAACTATATTAGTGTCCACACCAGCAGATGAAATCGCTCTGTTTATTCTAATCGTATGATTGTCGGCCGCTATAAAAGCTTGAGATCATTACAGCAGGATGGATTCTGATTGTCTGTCAATGTTTTTATCATTCATCAGTTGGATAAAATCATTCTGAAGGTGATTTCAATGATATTTTTTCTCTGTGCCGTTGTCGTCATAGCTGTGGCGTGAACTCTGCTATTATTTAATATTTAGAACTATTCATAAAACTATATCCTCATCTTTATAGTAGTTGTCCTTGGAGTGAAGTGGCCTTAAGATTATTTAAGTTAAAGAAATTAATATTTGAATTGTCAAAGATGTAGTAAATTGATCAAAAGTGACAGTAAAGACACTTATAGTATTACAAAAGTTTTCTATTTCAAATAAATGCTTTGTGTTCATCAATGAATCCTGAAAAAAAATGTATCATGTTTTCCACAAAAATATTAGATAGCACAACTGTTTTCAACATTAATAACAGTAAAAAAAAAAAAAAAAAAAAATGTTGCTTTGCAAATCAGGAATAAATTACATATTAAAATCTATAAAAAAAAATAAAAAAAATAGAAAGTAGTTATTTAAAATTGTAATAATTACTATTTTATACTGCATCTTGAGCTTTGGCGTCCAATAGAGATTTATTTAAAAAAACATTAAGGTTAAAAAAATCTTACTGAACCCAAACTTTTGAAGAGTAGTGTACTCGTTTTACAATGCATTCATTCTGAACATATATGCAATCAAATGTCAGTTTGACACAGTGTACTTTAGCACAGGAAACATGCTTTAACTTTTTTTTTTTTAGTTGAATCTTTATCAGATTCAAAGATTTGCAAAACATCAGCCTAGCCATGCCATTGTAAGCATGATGGTAAACAATGATAGTGTTTTCCACACCTTTGTTTGGTCTGTTAAAGTGACTGTTTTTTCCATACCTAGATTCGCCTTTGGGCTAAAAGTGAATGGAATGAAAAGGAAAGTGGTGTTGATGTGATGCCCCTCTAGGGATTCTGGAATTGTTTGCACAGAAGTGTTCAGTGCACATATTGATGTCAGCTGTGGCGTCAGAATCAATATTTTATCCAAAGAGCTCCAATGGGTGCTGGGTATTCTTTTCCGTTTAATGACACCATCCTGTGTAATAGAATGAGTGCTCCTGGAGGATTGTTTTCAGCCTCCGAGTTCTCTGTTTTTTACCTGGGGACGAGAGGCTTAATGTACTAAATGATACAATCAGAGTTAGATAACCCCTCTGTAGAGGGAAATGCTAAATGGCACTAGCTGGAAATTATAAGCTAAAAGGGTTGTCTGGGTAAAAGCAGTTAAAGGATTAGTTCACATCATTTACTCACCCTCAAGTTGATTCAAACCTGTATGAATTTCTTTATTCTGTTGAACACAGAATAAGATAGTTTGAAGAATGTTGGGAACCAAACAGTTAATGGACCCCATTGACTTCCATAGTATTTTTTTCCTTCCATGTAAGTCAATGGGGTTCATTAACTTATTTTTTTTTTCAACAGGATAAAGAAATTCACACAGGTTTGAAACAACTTGAGGGTGAGTAAATGACAGAATTTTAAATACATAAAATGTAAATTTCTGTAATTTACATTTTGCAAATAAAAAATGTTGTTGGTGTAAATTCTCTAAGTTAAATCAAATTATGTACACTACTGTTAAAGTTTGGGCTCACTAAGTTTTTTTATTTATTTATATTTATTTATATAAATGAATGCTTTTATTCAGGGATGCATTATTTTCTATTCATCAAAGTATCTAAAAAAAATAAAATAAAATAAAGATATCGGTTTCCACAAAAAAATTAATCAGCACTGTTTCCAAAATTGGTAATAAGTAATGTTGCTATTCGTCTGATATCTGAAGAATCACGTGACACTAAAGTAAAAATGCTGAAAATTTAGCTTCATCACAGAAATCACAGAAATTTGAAAATATATTAAGATGAAAAACAGTTATTTAATAACAATTATTATTACAACATTTCACAATGTTACTGTTTTTAGTGTATTTTTTTTATTAAATAAATTCAGCCTTGGTGAGCCGAAAAAAATTCATCTTGCAGACCCAAAATCTTTTACATTTTTTTAAAAATTAAAAAAAAAATTCAATTTTAAAAAAAAAATTAAAAATTTAATTTAAACGTGAAAACCTTATTAGAACAATATATTCTTCTTACTAAAAAACAAGTAGTTTATAATCATTTTAATGTATTCTTCGCATTTTTAATCTTTATCTTAATGTTGTTTTTAAATAGCAAGACATAATGAATTTAGTCTCTGATATACATTTTTAGATTAATTGATACACTGACTTAGATAATATCTTTTGTGAGCAGTGCATTTTCTAATTCATCAACTACCCCAGTCGTCCAATAGAGGTCACTGTTGCATTTTAGCTTGTCACAGAAATGAACAGAAGAGAGGAGAATTGAGGTGCAAATGATTTACTTTTTTCTGTTTCTCAACCCTATTGAATTTAATTCCGTAATTTGTGAACAGGACGTGCTGTAGGGCAGTAGAAGCTCGGTCATTCTGTTCCAAAGCCTTTGTTCCTTTTCCCTTAAAATGTCAGTTGTCATTCAAACTGTAGCTGGTGATTAACCACACAGCCGTGTTTCAGCATTAAACGGAATTGGAGCCACTTTATGTTTAATGTCTGATGATTTGCTCTGGTTCTGCGGATGAACATCGCCATTACAGAAGATCAGGCTGTTCACTTTGTTCCTGATGTGTGGTTATTTTTGCTATGGATTTCTGTATCTATACCACCTTAAAAGTTATGTGTAATTTGTGAGCAATTAATATCTCCTTACAAAATTACAAAAATAATGACCACACATTTCCCCAACTGTCATTGGTCTGTCATGCATATAATCCAGCCCCCAAAAAAGTTTTTGTGTCTGGTTTTTTGACATTGTTTTTTTTTTTTCAGATTACGTCTTTGCATAATTTTCATTTTAAAGATGCAGTCCCTAGCTTTTTTGGGGTTAA